GTCTGAATCCGAACCTTGCAGGAAAATTGCCGAGGAGGCATCCGTGGAAAACATCGCCAAGTACGTCCATCCGTCGAGCAAAAGCGAGTTCGTCCAAGCGAATGTACAACGCTAAGATGCCACAGAACAAGGTGAAGATGCTCCATGAATTTTCCATGAATTTGCTTCCATCCCATGGGTCAGACTGCTCGGCAGTTCTGTAACAATCCTGCATCGTCATCGGACGCGATTTCGGTGAGAGCATCGGCAATAATACAGGTGACGATATAGGTTCCCCGGCGAAGCACGGCCAGTCACAATCGCGAATCGCTGTTGTTCTGTCCCATTCTTCAGACCGGCCTTCGGTCCTAGGAACACCGGCCCGGTGGATGGCATGAACTTGATGTCTTCGCAGAACGCACATATAGGCGTCTCGACAAGGACAGGGGAGGCTGCGACGCTGCAGCTGGCAGATCGTCAGGCTCTTTGACGGCACTGCCTGTAAATTCTGTGCCCCTTCGCCGAGGTCGGCAGGCACTTTTCTTCGTTTGTCCCCGTTCCCAGCAGACTGGACCATGGTTTCCTGTTTCAGCCCAGCCCCGGGTTTTCCGTGTTTGCGGAACGACAAGGGACGGGAACACCTGCATCCACAGATCAAAGAGCAACAATGCAGGAACAGCGGAACGTCCGCGAGGCATCGCCAGCAAGAGAAACGAAAAGGATGCAGCAGTGGGCGCAGAAAGCAGATCCGACATGGAGAGCCTGGTCTTGACCACTCGCATCGCCTTGCGTCGCCTCTTTTGCTCTCCTCTAACCGGGATGCCTCGTTACGAGGCTTTTCCTAGCGACAGATCCCTCAAATGCCTCTTTGGGAAGTACCGTCGTGCGATGTTCACGTTGTGATAGTCGTGCATTACTCCCTATTGCCAGTCGACGTTCTGTTGCATTTTGTTTATTGGCGCTGTCGGGATGTTCTTATGTTCTGCCGCGCCTTTGTTTACGTTGTAACTGCGGCTTCGTCAGGGCTTTTCTCCGTCCTGCATGCTTTGGTTTTCAAGAAAGAAAAAAATGGTTCTCTTCTCGCACGTCGCGAAAGCTCTTCAAAACCCGCAGACACTCTTTTTCGCCGCTGTTTGGCCGCACAGCGATCATTTGTTACAGATGACCCAAAGCGGAAGCTTTGGTGTGACTGCTGTCCGAATTGGGAATGCGGCCTCCGCTTCGTCAAGACTGCGATACCACCCAGATTCAAGAAACACAGTGAAAATAAAGATATAGACCAAACCCAAAATACCAGAACCAGGTATTTCGTCCTACGGTTGTCCCTTTGTATTTGTCCTTTTGTCCTTTTGTCCTATTGTCCACGTCCGCCTATCGCCGCCCTCGGGGAAGTCCATCCGCCTTGCGATCCGCGAGTCTGAGGATGCACTGCTGTCGATGATTCAACCGCCCTTGTCCTGGAACCTCATGTTGATGCTCGCTTCTTTTCGGTGAAGGTGTACGGAGATGTCTATTTTTTTTCGCCGAGATAAACTCCTTTTCGGCCCGGTTTCTCCTCGCATAGCAGCCCACGATGCCAACCCATATCCTCAACTCCCCAACGACGATCAGAGTATTTTCAACATTCCCACAGGTCTACGAGCACCAAAACGGTGGTGGGCCAGACGTCAAACCGATTACAAGAAGATGCAAACTACGGCACAGAGTCAACACAAGTCACGATGTATCCCATATCTCGATACCCATTTGCCACTGTCCATCAACATGCCTCCCTGTGGAGCACCATTCCCCATTTTCTAGATCATGCGGTGAGAGAACATCGGACGTCCCTCCTCCTTGCCCTTGGACCGCAAAGCTACGGTCCCCCACGTTTCCATGATCTCAGGTTAGTGTCGCTCCTTCATGGGATGGTGTCCTACTCATGCGCGCCTCTTTCCTCTCCAGACCATGCCAAGTTTATATCCGTGAAAACAACAACATAACAAGACGACAAGACGATTAGCTGCAAGCCAGAAGAAAGGAGGTCTACAGTACCAGATACCGAATAGACGATCGACCGACTGCATACTATTTTAGAGACCCATCTGTCTGGTTGTTCTGCCCGTCCGGTGAGTCTGTCGGCGCCGTTGTATCGTGTCTCTTCTCGCCTTGGCTATTTTATACTGTCCCCGTCTTTTTTTCCTCTGTCTACGTCCTTCTTGTTATGCTTCCATATCGCACGTACCACGGTTCTGGGCCCGGTCGGTCTTCAATGTCATCTGGCCTCTTCTGGCCGCTTCTGGCCTCTTCGGTTTTCATCTAGTCTCGTATTGTCTCGTTTTGTCTCGCATCTCTCTTACGCATTGCCCTCGTCGGTGAATCTCCTATGGAATGGACCCCATCGTGCCGCCCATCTGGTCACTTCGTTATTGATCGCTAGGTGCGCTAAGGCCGTTGCTAAACCCCCATGGCATCGTGGGATTTGAGTCCGGCCTCATTCTCTCTCTATTTATGCAGCTTACATATACATGACATGAAGTGCACGCCCCTCTCCATTCCCAGCTATTTCCTATATCTTCAGTTCTGATTTGGTGCTCTCGTCCAACCGTGCTGGGTCTCGACAAGACGACATACCCTTGCTTCCTACTCCATGTTCTGAGCTTCACAGCGCTCCATACTCCACATATCGTACTCCGTTCTCAATATGAGGGACCGCATTATCTTCATGCAGATTCGCGTGACCATGAAGCCTTCCGGCGGGTTTCGACATTCAATCCCACAAGCAGAAAAACCGAAGTCCTTTGAAACATGCACTGCATTGAAGACCGGGCTCCCTTCTTCTGTTTTCCGGGGCCTTGACAAGGCAACCAGGCGGAACGTAAAGAACAGATACCCGTACCGAGATGGGCTGTTGAAAGGAAAACCGCCGTCAAGTGCCGTCTGTTGTCTCCCCGTCTTCTTTATACCGCTCTGCTAATGACTTATTCTCCCGAAGGCTGCACCATTTCCATGGCACAACACCACTCAACGGTGTATGATATCAGGTATGCTCAGCAGTATTTCGGTGGAATAATCGAAGGCGCCCGCATCTTGCCTCTTCTGGTCCTCTCTCCCCGGCTCCGCTAGCTGGCGGTACCGCCGCCACGTTTTTTGTGGATGTGGCCCAGACACTCTTCATACTGGTTCGTCAACTCAATAAGCCGAGATAACAGGTCCTGTCTCTTACAGTAAGGCATAGACTTGGCACACGCCCTCCCCCTCACCCCTGGTTAAGACGGGATACGGGGAAGACTCAGAATGGTCTGGTGCACCTTAGGGAGTCCATATGCAGTTCTCGTCTTGTTGTCAGCGGTCAGTCGGCGCCGTCCCGAAACCAATGCTGTCTCCACCGTATTCTCTGTTTTTCTCGCTGTATTACGGACAGAGGACGCTTTTATACTTCGGCGCCGTTTAGCCGCGTTGCTGTCTCGCCCATTCCTATGTCACTTATCTGGCGCTCCGTTATATTAGCAAACGTTGGTACCTTCCACATCGGAGAATTTCTTGTCAACGGGAGTGGAGCCCCGTTTCTGGCCGTCTTCTGTGTTCTTGGGAACAGAACGCTGGCAAAACTGTCAGAAACCTCCAATAGTTTTATTCCCGATGATATGCCGCCCAAAATGGACGCCAGCGAAACGCAAGACGAAAGGGCTTTTTCTCGCTCTTTCTAATTAATTTTTTTGTCGCCCGGTTTAATACCGCGTCAGCTCATCAATGCATTAATTCCTCTTTTTTCGTGACCTGAACGAAGCCAGGTAAAACGGGGGTCTACTCCATTGGGGGGGGTGTAATTAGGCGAAGCTAGAAAAGACCCCAGATTACGTAGTTTTGCTGGGCTCTTGCACATGCAAAATCCCGGCATTTTGCTTCGAGGAGACAAAATATCAACAAGCAAACGATGACCCCCAACAATGCGGCAACAGACCACAAAGGGACTTTGCTACTTGCGGCTTAAGATGGGGTGCCATCAGAGCTCACAAAGACATGCACCACACCCGCATATTGCTGAGTCGTCTCTCGATGCGCTCTCTCAGTACTCAGTGTGCGTGTAATACGACGTGCTCCAGAGGCCAAGACGGTGTATAGGGAAGCAAGGGGCTTGTCGTCTCGATCGTTTCCCGCAGCAGACAGGGCCCAGAAGGGTCGAAAGTATTAGGTGACGCAACGGCCGTCAGAACCGTTGTACATCGGCGTACTTGTCAATGTTAGCTAGTGGCCTGACCAAGAGAAGGCTGAGTGAGGATCAACAACTGAACAGCGACAGACAAGCAGGCGACGAGTGAATAGCGTTCGCGTGTTTCTAAAGAAAGAAACAGCTTTCTCCAGGGCAGCGAGCTCTCACCTCAGCGCAACACACGCCGTCCCTTATAGTGTCCGAATGTCACTGTCGATGAGCGATCTCGGTGGACAGGAGTTCCTAACCCGCGGCAAACTTCCGCCCTGTTTCTCGTCGCGGGTTTTCCACTCAAATGGGCTCCTGTATCTCCCTTGCTGTCTTTGTCGATGATGTCTGTTTGTGAATATCCGTCCCGATTTCCTACCGAATTGTTCATTAACTGTCGATCGAGAGTAAGAGACGCGGCCTCGGTATTGCTGACTGACGCTTGTGTATGACGAGGTCTGTTGTGTTGCGGCTTTTGAAGGCCAGTTGCTGGTGGGCGTTTCTTCCCTCACAAACTTGATGCCAATTCAGTTGTCCATTGCGCAACTCAAAATAAATTTACCAGGAACGTAAGGAGCTCGAATGCTACGTCGGATTGCCCTTTCCTCATTCTTGCAATTACGTAGTGCCGCAAGAGCGTCGTTGAAAGCCCCGTAGAGGAAAGAGCTATAGACCCCGCATATCGGTTTAACTGCGGGGGAAGGAACAACTTCGCAGACGCGTAGCCAAAGCGCGTCTCGTACAGTCGCCATGCGCAACGTCACACCTAATTAAAAAGTAAATTCGACCACGTAAAAAGCGACGAGTTGGCGTCTCGGGGGTTAACCTCACTACACGGCGAATGATAACGGCGTACAGACGAAACGGAACAACAATCGCAGCTGCGTCGGTGGTGGCCTCGACACGGACAGCGACCGCAGCGGTGCCCATGGACTACCATGCGATCCATGGCCATGATGTGGCCAACTTCAGCACGCCATTGACTCGTGAGATGCACTATGCGCTCTTTGTCGTCCCCTGGCCCGTCAAGGTCTTGCTGTGTCCTTATTGCGAAACGAGCGGCTAATCATTCGACAGATCGAGTTTTGACCGTGTCGGCTGCCGAGGCCGAGGCCGCTCTACTAAGCCCGTCGCCGGCATCGCCAACTGCGTCTGAGACTGCACCGTCACCCTTGCGTTTCGTTGTCAGCACGGGTGTCGCAACGTTGGATGCCATCCTGGCCGGCATCGATCAGCCAACCCAGACTAGTGGAGACAAGCCACACAGCGACGAGCCAGCCAAGGGGGCCGAAGCAGATGGAGACGCCACACAACGAGAGGCGAGCCCGGATACAGCAACGACAGGAAGGAACGCAGCAGTAGGTACCGCGGGAGGCGTCCGCCGTGGTCAACTGACAGAAATATGGGGGCCACCCGGTGTGGGAAAGACAGCCTTTGGGTACGTCGAGATGTGTTTCGCTACACCACAGACTTTCTTTGTAGACACAGTCCGAGGGGGTTAACAGTGCACGTACAGGATACAACTCGCAGCAAATGCACTGCGCCAAGGTGGTAGTAGTGTCTGGATCGGTATGTCACTTTGCAGGTGGTGGAGAGAAAGTCGCACGGCCTAGGCCTGGGTTTGTGGACGGGAATCGTTTGTTAACGTACGAGCAAAAGACTGCTTCCAGAGTCTCTGCTACGACCGACTTGGCGATGTCTACGACAGCCGATGTAGCGGGGTCGACGGTGCCAAAGGCCTGGAAGATGGTTTTGTGCATTTTGTCTGCCCGAGTTTACCACACTTCATTGCGATGCTGTGTCCCCAACCACCAGCGCAACCGCCATGCATTCCAGCGGACACGACGCTGCTCGTCATCGACAGCTTGTCTGCTCTCGTCAACTCGGCACTTCCAAGGGCCGTTGAGGGGAAGGGACCACCGCTTATGGCAAATGGGAAGAAAGGTAGGCACTTGGGCGTAGCATATGCATCGGCGATTGCCTGCCACGGCCACGTGTACGAGCATAAAATATACCCCGAAATAAGAGACGAGGCTAACACCTGTCGTATGCAGCCCCCAGTCCGTACGACAAACGGGCTCAGGTTCTCCAGTGCGTGGCGGCGGCACTGGAACGGCTCGCCGAGACACGCAACATTGCCGTTGTTGTTCTCACCCAGTGTGCCAGTCGCGTACAGACGGAGCGCGGTGCCGCACTCGCCCCGGCCCTTAATGGTGTGGCTTGGGACCGCGGCATCACAACGCGCCTGGTCTTGTTTCGGGATTGGGCCTGGAAAGACAACCGGCCTGTTGGTGGGCGCTTTGCCGGGGTCCAGAAGCTCAATGGATACGAGAGCGACACGGGTATCGACAGCATAGTCGGATTTGATGTTACAGAGGTCGGCCTCGTTGAGGAACACTACACAGCCGTCCCGCCACGGTCGTCCATCTACAAACGGAAACTCGGAGAGACGGAGCTTGTCCCTCGGGGCGGTGATGACGATGACTATGGCTGGGACGACGAGGACGAGGATAACCTGCCCAGCATGCCACCACAGTGGCAGGGCAGTGAGGACATCCTCCTTGGTCATCGGCGTTACGATGATGATGAGGAAGAGGCAGATGAGGACGAATATGAGGAAGCCGACAAGGATGATGCTGGCGGTACGGAGACCGCTGCTATTGAGGGGGGCAGGCCAGAATCGAAGGACGGTACAAGCCCGCGAATACAGCTGGCCGGGACAATAAGGTCACCTCGGAGCATCGCAGACAGTGAAGACGATTCCGATTTCTAATAGAAACACGATGAGTAGGGCCCCAACAAACCTTAGGTCTCTGTCCGGACACGAAATGCCATGGCATGGTGGGAAATCAATGCAATAAGCTTCGCATATCAATGAATTGCGTGTGGAAGTCGATACATGAGGCCAGTCACAAGCTGGCAAAGCAAAAGACATGCTTCTTGAGGAGGCCACTGAATACAGTTCAGCATTTGTGTGTTTTCGTGAATAGACCTGCCGGTCGGTGATTTTGATGCGGCACGCTTACAAGGCGGTCGGCCAACTGCTCAAAACGACTTTTTGCACCCCGTAACCCTGTTCAACTTCGTCCTTCAAATCCACAAAGGATTCTCGCTCTTGGGGTTTAAAACGCCCGCCAACATAACACTTCAATAACATCCATCTCCGTGCGCAGGATATGAAATGGGATATGCGGGAGCTCGAACTCGATTTTATATCCTCTTTGTGGTCTGTTTATCTGTATCTTACCCTGTATAAGAGTGGCAGTCTAAGTCTCTTGATGAAAAAGTCATACATCGAAATTACAACACAGAGCCTCCACGGATATTATACAACATTGTTGCCGATCGAATCGTATTTATACTTTTCAATGTGATGAGCAGGTTGTTTTGGGCTTTATTGATACTCTCTATACATTGTTGCTTGTGTTTACTTTGTTGTCATATCGAGTAGTCTTGTACCAGCACTCTTGCTCCTGGTTCATATTTGTTCGTTTTCAAAAATATAAATAAAGTGTAAATTTTAGCACGGTTATTTTATATTAATAATCCAACGAAAAAACTGAAGGCACAATAAATTAGGGAACAGCACAAGACACATACAAACACACCAACAATGTCGTTGCAACAACACAATTCCGAATCTCCACCATGAACACTGCAAGATAACACATTCAAAACACACCGTATTGGAATTCCCGTACGGGTAAGCACACGTTGGCACCGCGACCCTGGCCAAGCATCACGTCCGTCAGCATTGCATGAGATTGAACGCACGGTACCTGGACGTCTATGATGTACGTAATAATACCTGCACGAAACGACCGCGCCAGACACTTGAAAGAGTTGAGTAGAAAGTTTTCTGTCCTTGGCAGGCGATTTCCCTCCCTTTCTAGGAATACCAAGAGGTGGCCAAGACGTGACCAGCGGTCTTGATTCTTACCTAGTAGTTACCAAGCTCTTGGCCACATAGCAGCGGTGCCTAACCTGGCGAACCTGGCGAGATTGTTGTGATGATCTCTTTGTATGCCTTATGTATGTTGTACTCCGTAATACGTCTGACTTCATAGCAATACGGCGTCTGGCGTATACTGGGTTGGGCACCATGCGCATGCAAATGTGTCCAACTCAAGATTCCACAAGGAGCGTTCGAATTACGACTGTCCCAAGCAAACGTCGCCACCCGATGGATGCGGCAAGTTCGGCACCTGGGCTCGCGATGCACGTGCTGAAAAGGCTGCCTAAAACAAGAGCAGGTGAACGACATAGATTGTTCGTATTGCCGCTTCCAGAGACGGTTTCCAGGGGCCTTTCGTACTACAGTACCATTTTCGTATCCAATCCGGGGAACACAGATTCGCGTACCGAGTGTACCTGCCAGCCTTGCTGTAGTACGCTCTGCTCAGCACGCCGGCTGCTTATCATGCTTCGCCGTGCAGCTGTGAATACGTATGGCAATCAATGAAGACGACTGAAAGCGCTGCCGGGGCGGTCATATTCCCTGCTCTTCCTGGAAGTCGATTAACCATGGTGGCGTAGAGCGAAGAATTTGATTTGTTTTGCGAGGCAACAATGCACTGGACGAAAAGAGAGGGAACAAAAAAACGAAAATCGTTAAAATGCTGCCAGTGAGAAGCCGTTCTCGTCCTGGTCAACGTTACAAATGAAACAAGTGGCCTTCAGCCACGATTACATAATAAGTCCATTAATGCGCGCAGCCAATCAGAGCGCCAGGGAGCTTGAAATTACGGGACATCCACAACGGGACCGGCCAGCCAACAGCCTGCGGCAAGCGTCGGTCGGTCGCACTTTCGTTTGTGTGTGTCGTACGCTATGCCAGGTACCCGTCGCTCCTCATTGGCTGGGCCGCACCTGCCCCCCAGAGAAAAAGCCACCAGCGCAGAAAAGATGTTACCGTCGGGAAAGCGCGACAGGTACGCAGAAAGTACTTCAAACGGTGCAAAAACTGGGTAATTGCACACTTTTTGTGACGGGGAATAAATGACAATCAACAGCGACCGTCAGAGTGGACAAAAGGCTCCTCCAGAGCGATAGGCAGGAGGGGACTGGTCCACCGACTCTCATTTCACCAATTTGGACGCTGTCGGAAATGAGGAGAGCAGAACCGGAAAAGGCCAGGAAAATCGACAGACGGAGAGGGAAAGAGCAAATGGCGTTCCAGAACGTGTTTGTCGGTCAGCGACAGGGGCTGCAGCATTGCGAGTCACGATAGGGAGCGAAGTAAGGTTCACTTGGCAGAAAATCAATTAAACTGAGATCTGTCCGGGGCGAGATCCATTGTTTGAAGTAAGAAACCCGGTAGCGCTCAGGACAATGTTCTCTCGGTACGGGCTACCACCATGTTTCTGATTTTCCGTTTCTTTTGGACTCCGTTTCTTTTGGCGATGTACCTCGTTTCACGTGCCGCCTGTTACTGGTTAAATTGAAGTTCACTGGTGTTTGTGCGCGGCGCAGACGGGGCGCCAATGTGACCACAGTTTTTCTACAAGTGCACACGGGACTCCGAGTTCGAGGGCTGCCAGGAAGGCGCGAACAATGCCAACGCAGTCCGTCTTCGCTGGCCGCACTTGCCACGACACACCGCACGTACTGAGCACAAACGTGGCAAACGACCAACAAAATAGGAAAGAAGCGGAAGGCACTCGGAATGAAGGAGACCAAGAAAATTCTTTTGCATTAGGCCTCGTCGTTGGACAATCCACGGCCAGCCAGGTGCCTGAAAATTAGGAAGAAAAACCACAGGCGCGACCAGAGCATGAATCTCTTTGGGCCGTTTTCGCCTCATGGACTGGGATTTCAACAATCGCACCTGCCCAAGAAAGAGATACTTTGTGGGTACTGGCCGCGGCCTGTTTGCCTCTAGAACGAGGGCCTCTCGGGCCTTTTCTTTTATTAGATGTGCTCTCAAGGGTGCTGTAAGATGCGCTTCAGGTCTGTTCAATCCTCTTTAGAACTATGCGGCAGTGGCGTAAAAACTGCGATGCACGGCCTATTTCGCCATCAGAGCACGGAGCATGGGCTCCTCATATGGTGGTACGGAGCATGTACGAAGAGGACGCGCGAGGCAAAAGTCGAGACAAGACGCTGACCCTGGCCTCTTCGTTGAAATTAAGGGAGCAAAGGACAGCACAAAGGCGAAGCCAACCAAGCGCACCAAGCATACGACCGGGGCTTCTGTTGTACCCCCAAGGTATTGGCCCCATGTCAGTCGCGGTAGCGGACCCGCTTCTTTCCTTTTCTGGCTACCTCCAGGCGACACAATCGTTATGGTCTTAGGAGGTGCGTCCCTGGTCGTTGATATTATTGTCGCGTGTGTGGGGCCTCTCATCTGGTCCCCTGCTGCGCTTTCCATTTTCATCGTTGGCACCACCGCGCCCGCTGCTGGGCCACACCTGCCAGTCCATGTTGTCCCCCTTTCTTGGGGGTGCTGCCGTGCCCTCCAAATTTTCGCTGTTGCCCATTACTCGCCCTGTTCCCCTTCCTGATCCTTCCTCGTCTTCCCTCTTTCCCTTTCCATTCGTTTTCTGCAGTTTCTGTCCCTCGCTATCGCATCCTACGTTTAGGTCCCTCACTTTTTTTTTTGCGCTTTGCTTCTTCAGAGTATTCCGTTACTCGTGCCATTCCTTTTCATCTACCCGCTTCTTTGGTTTACACCGGTCTCTCTTTTCTCACACGCGCCAGGCGAGCTCGACGTTTCGCACCGCTTCGACCACGACGACACCAAACGAACCACCCGCATCACGATCTCATTCAGTCGGTCTTCACTTCTCCACAGACTACAGACTCCATACACCAGCACAATGCTTCTCAAGACGTCGACCGCCCTGGCCATCCTGGCCGCCGCCTCGCAGGTCGTGGCCGAGCCGCAGCCGTATGCTGCCCGCAAGCTGATGTCGGTCCGCGACATGTTCGGTGTCGTTCGCCGTGACGGTGCTGATAGCTACACCCCGTCCCAGAGCTACTGTGGCATCGGCGAGACCTGCGCCCAGGCCTGCGGTGCTGGCTACGAGACGTGCTCGTCGACCGACGACGCCATCCACTGCTACGACCCCAGCAACCAGCAGGTGTGCTGCCCTGACGGTTCCGGCAACTCATGCGATGCCGGCTACTACTGCTCCGGCACCCAGAAGGGCGAGACCGTGTGCTGCCCCAACAGCCAGTCCCTGGCCGAGTGCGCCGCTGCCTACCACGTCAAGGGCCCTCTGACCCGCGAGACCGCCAAGCCCACCTCGTCGTCCGCCTCCTCGACAGTCATCTCGTCCTCGTCTGCGTCCTCGTCTTCGTCCTCGTCTTCCGTCAACTCGACGACCAGCACCGTCGTTACCAAGCCGACCGGTCACCACGGCCACCATGCCAATGGCACTGTCGTCACCTCGTACAGCACGAGCTTCACGACCACGTCGTGCTTGACCTCGGCTGCTGGCACGGCCGCCCCTACCCATGCCAACAACTTCACCACGTCGCGTGGCGGCCCGTCGCCCACGGCCTCGCAGGTCGCGACCAGCGCTGGTGGCTTCATCAAGCCCGCCGGTGCTGCCGCTGCCATCCTGGCCGCTGTCTTCACATTCCTGCTGTAAATGCAAACGACGGCATTTCCTCGACACCTCATCTCTCTATCCGTCACAGGCTGCTACGCGTTCATGAGACAAACGACTCCATTTCAACTCCCTCTAAAGAACAAACAAGCGGCCTCTCTCTCTTGTCCGGAAACAGGTCGTCGTCTTCCCCTATCTTCCCAATCCGCCAACCTTTTTTTTCTCTATTTTTTATGTGCTCTGTCGGATGTTTGCAATGCTTTGGCAGGTTCGCGTGCACGCTAGCCGCATCGCAACATATTCAATAACAAGAACACACCTTCATATCTGGCTGAGGAGTTGGCTTGGTTTTTCTTTTATTAACTGGGGGGTTCTTGCTTTTTTTCCTTCTTTGGATTTTCTTTTATTTCCTTTTTTCACTTCTCTGTCTATGATACCTCAGGGAACAAGCAGGTTCCTCCAGTTCTTTTAGTCCCGCAAGCGATATGGAAGAACTGAAGGGCGTGCTTCACCACTGTCCTAGGACAACCAACCCATTTTTTTACCCATTTAACTACTTTTTTTATATCACTGCTGCTTGCGAAGCTTCCTGTTTATTTTCAATGTACGCAAGCTAGTACGAGGCAAGCCTCGTACGATTGCTTACCCCCCGCACGCCTTGATCTACTTTCTCGTCGCACATTTTTATTTTTTTATCGATATTTTACTGGAGAAAAAGAAATGTACCGTCAGACATTGCACATAAGCTTTCATGTCCCACTGCCCTCGTGACTCTATGCTTGTGATTGATTGACACTGGGTTTATTCGTGATCGTAATGTCCCGCAAGGGGCAGAATGCCGTGGAATGAGTTGATGAAGTCACTACTTGTGATTAGTTCTCGTACTCATGTGTACTGGTAACACTAAAAACCGGCCATTGCGAAGATGTGAATTAAGAGTAAGGACTTTGCTGTTCCTATTTATTTATTTGCACCTGGTACGGGACGGCGAGATATCCTGAGAAAGAGTGCTCTATTTTTTGATGTCAATTTGTTAGAGGAGTTGCTAGAATGGCAAACTGAGACGATGCGCAAAGTGCAAAAATTCTCTTCATTGGACCTGTTGATCTGTGTTTAAAAAAACACGAGTGTTATTTCCCGTTGCACGGGCCAATACGAACACGGCGTCAACGGCAATTGTTTCGTTGCCTGTCTGGCCAGAAAGGGATAGGTTGTGTCGATTGCAGCTCATCATCCCTTTACGACCTACAGATCGGCGCATATCACGATTTGCCTCACTCCTTGTCACCCGTTTGGTTTCCCCCAAGCCAGGGATCGCATTTTTCTGCTGCACAATTGTGTAGTTAACAGGGCTGACGCTACGTCCCCTTAACAAGGCATCGCAGGAATGTGCTGTCTTGGCTTATCCTCGAACTCACAAGATATTTTACCTGGAGACGGATAGCGTGCATATTTATCTAGCCTCCCACCACCAAAGTGAGAACAAAAACATACAGAACCTGTTTCAAGCCAGCTCGCCTGAATCAGAAACGCTTTTACCCGGTTTCCCGGTTTGGCCTTTTCGCAGTGAGTTGGGCTGTGTTGTCGTCATGTGGTACGTTCTTTTGTTTCGTTTCGTACCTAGATGTACAAGATAGCACGCCTGCGTCTTGACAAAATCAGGAAAATACACGAGACAAGTGGTTCCTAATCAATACCAAACTTTGAAAACAATAGAAGGTGTTATGTGAATTGCTTTCTGGCTGGGTGACCATAAATTGTAGGCCCGCTGGTAGTAAAAAAAAAATAAGAAATGAAAGCAAATACTCGTCCGAATCGTGCAGCTAATCAAGTAAACAAAACAAAACAACCGAGCGCTCAGCAAATGCTATATGCTATTGCGATGTCGGGCGGTCCATAAATCCCGTACCATGGGCATCTCCTATCCACCCTCTTCCAGCTTACGCATTGTAGTCGGGCGGGTTGTCCATCATCTCGTCGGGATGAGGACGGCGCGCTGGCATCGGCTGGTGCTGGCGACGGAGCCGCTCTAGAGTGGCCGCCTCCTGCTGTTGAGACGTATGTTGCTGCGGCTGCTGCCTCTGCTGTTGTCGCATCGCCCACAGCTGCTGCTGATATCCGACGTAACCAGCTCGCTTATAGCTCAGCACCTCATACACTGCCTTGGCAATCTCCAGCGGCCGCTTGCGCCAGTCACGCTCGCCCCAGACTTTACGCAGCAGACTGTCTGCAATGGCCGTGGCCAGGAACCGCACGGCGTGGTCCTCGGGCGTCCACGTCGTCTTGTCCGGGTGGTACGCCAGGAAAATGACCGACTGGTTGTTGATGGCGTCCTTGGCCCGCTGTGCTGTCGCCGCCTTGTCGGGCTCGGGGTCGCTGGGAGCCTTGTCAGGGATCTCAACGGCATTGCCCGACTCGTCGTAGAGCGCCGTAAAATACTGAGGGTCCAAATAGTCGCGGCAGTACTCCTCCCAGTCACCCTCGAGGAACGCAAGCCACTCGCGGAATTGCGAAGCATCCTTGAACGGAAGCAGCTCGAGAATGAGGCGTTCGTGCTGGGCAGAAAGGCGGAGGCTCCCGGGGCTGCTGGGACCGGCATTCGGTGTGCCAGATGCACTTACGGGTGTATGCACATTGAGTGAGCTGGACGAAGCCGACGCAAAGCCAAATCCGCCAAGCAACGGAGTCGTGACTGGAGGTGAGGTAGGGCGCACGGGCAACGGTGGCGGTCCGTTGTTGCTACCAGAGGGGCCAGTTTTCTCGTTGGAGGAGACCATTGTAGAGACAATGCAAAGAGATCAAAATCAAAGCTGATAAAGCAGGGCCGGTGTAAACACAGGAGCGACAGCGCGGTGACAAGCTAGCGGTGGCCGCACCTCACTTACACGGTCGGTTGGCGGCCATAGCTTCGCTCTTAACCTTTGTTAAGCTGTTGCCTATATGCGTGTAACGGGATCCTGACAGGAGGCTGTGCAGACATAAGCATTGGAGGACTACGTATGTCAATACTGACTTGCTACTGGAATATGTAATCGTTGTACCGAGGTAACATTGCTAGTAGCGGGATTATTATGCAGTTGTTGAATATTCTGGCCTAAAACCCCGCTTCCTGTACGGCCAAATATCTGCCCGGTCTGCACCTGCAAGGTTTTCGGGCAACGGAAGGCGCGTTGCTCTTTTTATGTCCGGCGTAGGCATCAATGTAAATCTGGTGTATCTGTTGTTAAAAAAATTGTAATGGCGTACGGGGCTATTTATATAAAATGTATTGCTATTTTTATCCCAAAGAAGATGTTTAATTGGAGTCTCTCATGAGGTCGCTTGAGCTTTGTCGTGAACGACGATCGTTGTGTTTGCCAGTAACAGTCTTCTCGGGGAGTAACACGTGACGGGGTACTTCAGTCATCACCAACAGTACATCAGGTTAGAAGTACCTCTCAAGCAGGTCGCCTAATATCTGCTAGACTCATCCCCTCACCAAAATTCTTTGTTGGCTGCGACTGTGCCAGAAAGAATCGAGTGAATTATGATGAACGAGTCTATATGAAGCTAGGTGGAACCAATCGGTCCAGGTCAGGGCTAAGACTATGGATCCTAGGTCACATGACCACGATCCAACAGACTCTCAGGCAAACGTAAACAAAAAAAGAGGCGCGCCGCGTTTTCGACATGGTCACGAGAAAAGCGGACCCGCTAGTCCTTAATAGGACGACGTTTTTGGTCACATGATCATAGGTTTTTGTTGAACGATTATGGTCATGGAAAGAAGTAAGGCAAAATTGTGGATTCAGCCTTTTGAGTCTACAAGAGAAACAACCAACCTAGACTCTCGACCACCCGGTCTCCAAGCGACTCCTCGTTCGACCAACCTGCCCACCATGTCTGAGCTTGCTCCCTACAAGGCCGAGTTCCTGCGCGCGTCCATAAACGGCGGCCCGCTGTCGTTTGGCTCGTTCACGCTCAAGTCGGGTCGCCAGTCGCCGTACTTCTTCAACGCCGGCTCCTTCTACCGCGCCGACCTGCTCTCGGCCATTGCAACGGCCTTTGGTGAGACCATTGCCGCTGCCGACAAGGAGGGCGTCTTTAGCACCAACACGGAGAGCAAAGACACCTCCAAGCCCGCCTTTGACGTCGTCTTCGGTCCGGCATACAAGGGCATCCCGCTGGCCACGGCCGCCGTCGGTGCGCTGGCCGCCCTCGACAAGGAGCGCTACGGCAGCATTGGCTACGCCTTTGACCGCAAAGAGGCCAAGGACCACGGCGAGGGCGGCAACTTCGTCGGTGCGCCGCTGGCCGGCAAGCGCGTGGTGATTGTCGACGATGTGATTACGGCGGGCACCGCCAAGCGCGAGGCTGTGGCCAAGATCCGGGCCGCGGGCGGCCACGTCGTGGCCATTGTGGTGGCGCTGGACCGCATGGAGACGCTGCCGGACGCGCCAACCAAGGAGAGCGCGCTGGGTGCGCTGCGCCGCGAGTTTGGCCTCCCGATCCTGGCCATCCTGACGCTGGACGACATCATTGCCGGCATGCGGGCGTTTGCCACGGCGGACGACCTGGCGCGCACCGAGGCGTACCGGGCGCAGTACAAGGCGGAGGACTAGAGGGATGAGACCAGGGGAGCTGGGAAATACCCATGCAACTGTATTTAGTCGGCGCGTTGATGAGGTAAAGGACAACGGAGGCGTTAGGGTTAGGGTTAAAGAAATAGAAAAGAAGGAGATAGAGAAGGCCGTTGTGGCGGGTCTCTTCGGCTCCTTTTGGGCGGTATTCATAAGGATGTAACCTCGCATTTGGCTCCGGAGTTCTGTTTTGTATCGTTAGATGTTTGCTCATCGTTCGTCGTCCGTTATTATTTTATTCATTGGCATATATCATCAAGCGTGTTCTGCTTTCCTTTAGATCGCATAGTACTGTGTTTGTTAGATCAATGCCTCCCCAGAGCGAGTCCGTCTAGAAATAAAAACTCACCATGTCAAACCAGCCGCCGCCGCCAAACTGTGCCTTACTTGGACCGTTGTTCTTAAAGCCCAGTCTCGTATAGTAGTCGACGAGATGGTCCTGGCAGATCAAGGCAACGCGGTCCACCTTGTGCGCCCCATCCGACGCTGACAGAGCGGCCATGCGCTCGAGATACGCCTTCATCAGCTTCGTGCCCAACCCCTTGCCTTGCAGCGACGGCACAATGCCCAACGAGTGCACGGCAACGGTGCGTCCAGTCGGCTGGTGGCCAAGCGGAGAAGCTATGGGGGTGCCGGCGGCCACACCAGCCCGCCAGTCCTTGGGCACGCCCATGCTGGCATCCGACAACAGCAATGTGGAGCACCGAGTGGCAATTACGTGGCCAACTAGGACACCGCACGGCGGCGCAGATGAGGGCGAGGACGTCCCGGGCAGCAGCGTCTCTGAGTCAGCCGTGTGCACGAACAGGCCGAGGCTTGTCTCAGGGCACACGGTCAGACGGTACGAGAACTTGTCGGGCGTGGCGCGGTGGTCTGGATTGGTGAAGCAGGCGTTCTCGACGACGACGCAGGCATCGCGGTCGGCCACGGTGAGAGGCCGGATGGTGACGGCGCCGGGGGCCGTGAGGTCGATGGAGGTCATGGCGAAGAATGGCAGGGTGGTGCTTTCCGATGTCTCGTCTGAAGTAGAGCCTGCGCCAGTTTGAAGACAATGGCTGTCGAGACCGACGGGCTTGATATATCCAGGAAAAAAGATATCCACGAAAAGCAAACGTAAGAAGAAGCAGTAGAACAAACTTGATGGAGAGTAGTGCGAAGGAGGACGTACGACACAGAAGACGCAATGTTACTGTGTTCGAAGTCAAAGTATTCAATTTCATACGATGTATGCCGATTGAATTGTCAAATGGCTGTTGGCGGACGCTGCGAATAATAGGTGGGTTTCCTTTTGTGGAGTTAGTCAACTGTACGACGTACTACTGTTGCTCTCCCCGCTCTACCTGCATTACACAGACTGGTCTGACTAACTGGAACAGTACCTTAAATTCGCGCCTGTTTTCATCTCACGAAATGACAACACAGTGTCACGAACTTGATATTTTTGGATCAGCATCTTTATCCCCCGTGCGCCTGGCCCACTATCTATGTGAAACCTGGTATCCATAGCACCTTCCCCTCTCACTCACTGGCCCCTGCAACACGCCTACCGCATTCGGTTTTGAGCGCATTCGTCGCGTCACGGGACGCTCATTCGAATTATCTGTTGTGAGAACGACAAACTCATATCGCATCGCATCGCACGATCCCACCTTCATCAAACCGCCGCAAGTCCCACGGCCAACGCTTGCCGCAGGCGAGCCATTGCGATTTTATTCCTTTTCAAGGTTTGTTGCCCTCCTGTCTCTCGACGACTTTCGTTCCTTACTTTCTCACGCACGACATGTGTTGAGATGTAATGCGAGCCTGCAACTGGTTGCCCTGTCACTACTCATCGCGACACTGTACAAAGATACGACGATAAGCTTATAGTCGTTGAAATGTGACAGTTTATGTATTCTACTGGATCATTGCACCAACCTGTCAACTTCGCCCAGCCTCACTTCATCGCTTAGTCTCATGATCAATCACTATTCTAACTGATCTACAGTATCTTTATTTTACTCTGTCATTATTAGACGACACAATGGGCGACAATGCCAGTGCGGCTGTGGCCGAACCCGAGCCCATGGCCGATGTCATAGAAGCGAAAGAGGACTCCCGACCTGCTGAGCCTGTCGAGCCTGTCGAGCCTGTCGAGCCTGTCGAGCCTGTCGAGCCTGTCGAGCCTGCTGCGTCTACTCTGCCGACGAAACCCTTCTCATGGCTGTACGCGAACCTGTTGCGTTCTCCATTGAGACGCGCTCGCATCCATTGTATGGAACATTCCATCGACTAACATCATCGTGTGCAGTGATCCCCACCCGGTTTTTGTTATCCTTATTGTGGGCGCCGAGGAAAAGCCCTTTGGCATCCAAAAGGACTTTCTTTGCGCAAAAAGCCGTTACTTTCAAGATTATTTTTACAAAAGCACGCCCAACGGCACGGCAGCGAATGTAAGCGATAACGGTACGGTCGACAAGGAGGTCGAAAATGTTATCCGAATGAATGACATCTCAGTCGAAGCGTTTTCCTACGCGCAACACTTTATGTACACGGGCAACGTCGTTCCGGAGCAGGCCGCTGTCATCAGCTCTCATTTCAGCACCGGCAAGGAAGAGCCCGGGATCCCCAGCTACGACCTTCTCGTTAGCATTTGGAAGCTCGGCCACCGCCTGGGCATCGACGGCCTTTGCGAGCGTTCGCTTGAAGCCATGGCCGAGACCAAGCGCCTGACACAGTCGATCCCCGCCACAAACATTCTTGTGCAGGTCTGGAAAGACACACCGGACGGCTCGTCCATCCGCCATCTGCTGCTGTCATGGGCCGCCGAGTACCTGCGGTCGAGCGAAAGCGGCCGTTCCGAGTTTGCCAGAGCTCTTCCCCAAGAGCTGCTCAGCGAGCTTGTTGTGGCCATGAGCAGTTCGTACGGGGACTTCTGGGGTCTTCCCAGCGATACGAACGGCGACGACGACGTTGCCAGCGCCGCAGCCTCCACGCGCTCCGCCGAAAACGGCCACGTCAATAGCAAGCACTATCTCGAGGACGACTACGACGACAGCACACAGGATGGTGGCGACCCTGGTGCCAACGGCAACAGCAGCATCCACTATCGTGGCTCGCCCCCGGCATCCAAACGCGCGCGTTATTTTGACTCGTTTCCCGTGGGCAGAGCATCGTCTGTCATGAACCCGGCGACGCCAAACTTGCCTGCTTCGCCGGCGAACATTGCGCCCGGCTCTACAGGGAGGAAAGCTATCAGAACCGCGCTGCCCACCGGTGGTGGCGGAACACCGCGCGCTATTCCAAAGAAGCGGAGCATCAACGTGGACGTTAATTCATTCACCGAGGCCCAGAAACTCGAATTTTGCGCCGACCTCGTGACACGTATGCTCTCCGGGCCGGGGTTCTGGACGCGGCTCGTGGGCCCGTTCAAGGAGCCCGTTGACCCCACGTCGGAAGGCATACCAGATTATTTCACCAAGGTCAAGCGGCCCATGGACCTCGGCACGATCAAGAACAACCTCGACAACCACCGATACAAGGCGCCAGAGGAATTTTTGGCTGACATGCGGCAGATATTTTCCAACGTATACTCGTACTGGACAAAGGACGACCCAATTTGGACAACCTGTGAACGATTGGAAAAAACATTTGAAGAAAAATACTCTCAAATGAGCAAATGGCTTGTGAAGCGGGAAGACGAAGTCCTTGCATAGACGTCAGAAATGCGCGCCTCCGAAGTGTGTTTTTCGATTTTTATTTTATTTTTTTTTGTGTTCGTACAATTACGGGTTGGAACGGATTCGGTCTTATTATTAATGTTGGGCGGTTTGCAACGGGACGGTACTATACCAAAGAACTAATAATGGTGTTGTTCAGTTTGTGTCATTAGTTTATGTAGAATACATTATGCAACAGATATCGCTGGAGGCAAATGCCCAATGCATGATCTTGAGGTGTGTCCTCCTCTCAACATGTTTATGGCACCTGGATGCAACCACCGACATGTCATCCGGCCATCTCGTTTCTCCTCATACTCGTGGCATCGCCTCGTTTTTCTTCAGTGTCTGCGTTCATGACCATTTTATACCAAAGAGCGTTCCTCTCTTGTCTCCAGGAGCGTCGCCGCCCGACTTCTCCAGGTAGATCCGGTCATGCCCTGGCACGTCCACATAGAAGTACTTATACGAGAAATCACTCTGACCACGCCGTCGTGTCAGGTGCAGGTATGCTTGGCCGTTTGCGCGAGGGCCGTCGAGGTGGAAGTTCATCACAAAGTGCTCAGTGCCCTGTGCATCAGTCCGTTCAGTGGAGCTAGATATATCTCATGTTAGAAAATCCAATTTGAACACAGTTGTATAGCCGGCATAAACATACGCAATTGGCCGTGCTCTCCGCCATTTGTTCGACGTCTCCTCGCCGTGGGCTGTAATCTTGCGACCGTCGCCCAGCAGGTCCGTAACCCGGTGGTCGGATCGGATCCGGTCGACCGCCCGGTTGAAGTTTGACACCTTGCTGCTCGGTGAGAACACTTCGGTGTACAAGAAGTAGCAAACGCCGCCTGTTAACACAACGCCCACAATCACCATGCCAAGGTTAAAGGTCTGCTGAGCGGCACGGGCCGTTTTCTCGCGGCCAGAAAGCTCCGTCCAAGGAACACCGCCGTCATCGTTGAAGGGCGTGACAGAGCGGCGGCGGGCCGAAGCCGAGGATGAAGACGACGAAGAGGATGAGGAGGTGCTCTGGTGTTGTGTGGCGTAGTTGTGGGCGAGTATGCGCCGCTTCGTGAGTGCTGTCGAAGTGGTGCGCGGAGGGAACGAGGCTGCCATACGACAGCAGCTCCGTGATGCGCCGGGTGCAGCCGACGACGGCCAAATGGCCGCTGTTGATGACTGGCTGGCAAGTGAGCGGACGTGTGTTATTCTCATTTTGGTTGTGGCAGACGTGTTGCTGGCTGCCTGAGCACGATCGTCGTCGTCGTTGGGCGGGGGAAGAAGGCTGGCGGACACTGTCGAGAAGGCTATTGCAAGGCGCACCTTCCCGCCGAAGTAGCTAATACGTCTTTGCGCGAAAGAATCTTTCTACTGTTTGTAGGGGGAAGGAGCTAACACATACACGGCTAGCGCTGTCAAGCAAGGAAAGAGCGACAAGAAGTCGTATGCTTCTAGCCGAATTGCACAGGACCTCTTGACGCACAATGCCCGACCCCAAACCCCACTAAAGGGGTCTCCTCAGGAGGGGCGAGACTCACTGGCAGCGGATTTCAGTGCACATTTAGCGCAAAGGCCAGCCCAGACAGGCCAACCACAGCGCGCAAACCGCACCCTAGGGAGGGAGGGCTGGTAGGCGTAATAATACGGAGCCTTCAATTATCGCGAACTTGTCCTCTTCCTTGTTTCCCAAACTCCGCCTATCTCTCCCCCTCGCCTTTGCTTTCCACGCGCTCGCTCCTCTACCACCACAACCGCCACACGATCCGGACACCCTCTTGCGAGATCTGCGGACCAGGTGTTTTCAATTTATATTCGCGGAATCCGACAGCCGTTATCCGGAATCGACAAGACACATCTCTGGCATTCATTAATTCTTTTTTTTTTTTTTTTTTTTTGCGTCCTCCCAAACCCGCCGCAAACCGTCACGATGAGCGGCCTTGCGACTAAGCAGCAGTCGCTCAAGCTCTTTGAGAAGCTCAAGAGCAAGCCAGCCAACAAGGTATGCGGCCTACATCGCGTCATGGGCTCCACGTGGCCGCCTGCCGTTCACCGTTCACCGTCAGCACCCACCCCGCTTACACCTTTAGATCTGCTTCGACTGCGGCCAGAAGAACCCCACGTGGACGTCGGTCCCCTTTGGCATTTACCTGTGTCTCGACTGCTCGGCCAACCACCGCAACCTCGGCGTGCACATCTCGTTTGTGCGCTCTACGAACCTCGACCGTACGCTTATCCTCTTGTTCTACCTATCCTGCGACCGACGACCCCCTTCGGTCCTGTCCAGAGTCTAGATACGAATCTGTACTAACATGCTCTTGTAGAATGGCAATGGGACCAGCTGCGCGTGATGAAGGTTGGCGGCAATGATTCGGCCACCAAGTTCTTCCAGCAAAACGGCGGCTCAGCTGCCCTGAACAGCAAGGACCCCAAGACAAAGTACCAATCCAATGCCGCGACCAAGTACAAGGAAGAGCTGAAGAAGCGTGCCGCACGCGATGCCAAGGAGTATGTTGTCGTCCCTGACCGATGGAACCTCTTTCTCATGCTTACACATACGCCTAGGTACCCCGATGAGGTCGTGATCAACGATATCGAGGTGAGCGACGGCACCAGCACGCCCGCCGGCGAACCAGCCGACGACTTCTTCTCGTCCTGGGACAAGCCCGCCATCAAGAAGCCCACACCACCCGTTTCCCGCACGGCCACGCCCCCCGTTGTCGGCCGCACACCCTCGCCCTTCCTCAGCGCCGGCGCTAACAACGCCGGTGCCCGCTCGGCCTCGCCGCTCTCTGGCGGCACCGCCGGCAATGACGATGCTGCCAAGCCGGCCGCCAACCGTATCACGCACTCCTCTGCACTGAAGAAGACGACTACCGGCCCCCGGAAAACCAGCATTCTAGGCGCCAAGAAGACCACGTCGAAGCTGGGTGTCAAGAAGGTGACGGGCGACGTTATCGACTTTGACGAGGCCGAGAAGAAGGCCAAGGAGGAGGCCGAGCGCATCGAGAAGCTCGGATACAACCCGGATGAAGAAGAGGACGCAGCGGCTGCCCTCAAGTCCAGTGCAAAGTCGGAGATTGTGTCGCCAACGCCCGTGGCCCCCGTTCGCAGCGGGTACGGCTCGGCCTCGCACTCGCGTGAGAAGTCGGCCTCGGAGATGGAGCGCCTTGGCATGGGCATTGGCCGGTTGGGCTTCGGCCAGGTCGGTGGCCGGCCTGGTGCTGGCGCCTCTGCGGCGGCAACCAAGAAGAATACCGGCGGCTTCGGCTCAGTCGGCCCTATCAAGGCCAACATCGGTATGACTTTTTTTATTTTTAATTTCGTCGGGTTATCCACTCACTTTGAATTAACATTACGCTAACCTCATTTTACGCAGACGAGGACGAGAAGTTTGCACGGTCCAAGTTTGGCGCGCAAAAGGCCATCTCGTCTGACGAGTACTTTGGCAAGGGCTCTTACGACGCCAACGCGCTGTCCGAGGCTAAGCAGCGTCTGCAGGGCTTCGACGGTGCCACGGCCATTTCGTCTAACGCATACTTTGGCCGCGCCGAAGAGGAGACGGTCGAGGACTACGGTGACCTCGAATCGGCGGCCAAGGACTTTGTGCGCCGGTTCGGCATCACGGCAGGCGACGACCTCGAGAACCTTACGCAGGCACTCGGCGCGGGTGCCACGAAGCTGCAAGGCGCGATTCGCAATTACCTGAACCAGTAAAGAGGCAATGAATTTATCGTCTTGAGGCGGAAGCGAACGTTTGTTTCTTTTTTTTCCTTCTTTTTGGTTTAGGTTGACATGGCGGGAAATAAAAAACATGAGAAGGCCGAGGGGTCTAGAAAGGCGGGAATGGTGGACTGCGGCTCTGTCTTGTTTCGAGTCTCATTGATCCTCGTATTCTCTTTCGTTATGTTTTCCTTTTGCACTGGTGGAGTTTTTGCTATCCGACTTTTATACAGGCTGGAGAAGCAGGAAATTGGGGGAAGATGGTTGTTGACAGGTTGAAGAAAGTGGTCTACGAAACGAGTCCGGCGTTCAATATGATTTTTCTTATTTTAGTCGTTCCTCTTTTGTCGTTACATATCTAATTTTCTCCCAAAAAGAATACATCGATGACATCCTTACTTTGCAACCTCCTTGTACGATCTGACGAAGCATATGCCTCTTGGCGATGTACGCTTCTCGTGTTAAAAACACCGTAGGCCGGAGACAAAAATACGAGAAATCGAAAATAAACGTGGCAACGACAATTGGGGCAGTGTAAGGTGGGAGGATTACAAAACATAAGCCAGAAAGCATAACAAGAACATCTAATCCTCTTATAAAACTGAGATTACTTAACATAATTGAGGGAGGAAAGGATAGGAAAATTGCCGTTCATCTCACTCTCACCAGGGGCGTGAGATGACTGCTGCATTAGAATGTGGTCTCTTCAATATGGTGTGGCCTGGTGACCTCAGCCCGTGTCCCGCTTCATGGACTTCGGGCTTTGTGGGTGAGATTCACATGCCTTTTTTTGGTAGTCGCGTTTTGGTGTTGGCTGATCTTGCGCGGAGCAACTTTAGTACCAAAGCCAACCAGTCGCATCATTTGCCTCCTTCGCCACCTCCACATATCCTCAAAAACATATGGGCGAATTTCACAATTAGAGTGGACGGATTTTAAAGACAGAACATAATCGGTGCTTTGGGATATCTCTTTCTAATTTTGACGTATTTAGACAAGACGGAGAGATACAAAAAATAAAAACTCATGTACAAAAATGAAATAAAAACGTTTAAAAAAAAGATGCTGCTCAGTAATGTTCCACGGCCTATTATGTGCATTATTTTCCCAGGCCCATACGCATCCTATGCGTGGTCCTCGCATATCCTATCTTTACAGCCGAGCGTTTTACAGCTTGGCAATCAGCTTGTTGCCCTGGGTCAGAGCAGTGACGGCATCGTTAACGAGCTCGTCGACGACGGCCTTGGCAGGCTTCTTCTCGTTGACGACAGACGCGCACTGGCCCATCAGGAACGGCCGGAACTGGTCCATCAGCTCATCCACATCGACCTCGTCGTCCTCGCTGCCGCCATCCTTCTTTCCGATGTCCAGGCCCGAGGGCGGCGTGGTCAGCTCGCCAGCCAGGACCTTGTCCAGGTCAGCCTCGTAGGGCAGCTTGCCCTTGCTCGTGAGCTCGCGCAGCTCTTCCTGGCGCTCGGTCTCCCAGTGCTCAATGTAGGGGTTCTTGCGCACGCGCAGGGGGCGGCCCGTGAAGATGAGCGTGCGAATGGTGTCGTCGAAGCCGGCGGTGCGGACAGCCTCCTTGTGCGACTCGGGAGCACCGGCCTCGTCCGTCAAGATGAAGCGGGTGCCGACCCAGACGGCAGACGCGCCCATCATCAGGGCAGCGGCCACGGTCTGGCCATTGTAGATGCCGCCAGCAGCGATGGTCTGCACAGGCAGGCCGGTCAGGGGCGACTTGTGGCCCTTGCAGAGGCGTACGACCTCGGGAATCAGAATGGTGGTGGCGGTGTCACCGGTGTGACCACCACCCTCACCGCCCTGGGCGCAGATGATGTCAACACCGAGGTCCAGGCACTTCTTGACGTGCTTGGGGTGGCCGATCATGTTCATGTACAGGATGCCGTGCTTGTGCAGGCGCTCGACAACGTGCTTGGGGGGCACTCCGACGGCCGAGACAAATAGCTTGGCGCCGGACTCGATGACAACGTCAATCAGCTCGTCGAGCTTGCCCTTGGTGTAGTCGTAGTTGGTTTTCCGGGCGTTGCCGCCAACCTGAGGAAGCAGCAGGTCGACACCGAAAGGCGCCTTCTTGTCCTTCAAGTGCTCCTTGAGCTCGCTAATCTGGTCGCGCAGCATGTCGGGCGTGTAGTTGACACCACCAATGACGCCGAGACCGCCGGCGTTGGTGACGGCAGCAGCGAGCTGTGGGCCAGCCGCCACGTTCATGCCAGCCAGCAGAATGGGGTGGTTGATCTTGAACAGATCAGTGATGGGGGTGCGGATTTTCTCTGTGGGCAACAATCCGCGGTTAGCACCAAGGTCTAGCAAAGGAAATGAAGCATGCGTATGCGTTTGCCATTTCCTCTGGCGGCCGAATTTGCAAAAGCGCTGTCGAGGCGGCGTTGGGGAAGAGGCAAGAATACTCACGAGGAGAAGCCATTTTGACGGTATGGAGAATGGTGAGGAGGAAAAAAAAAGAAAGAAAGGTATCACAGGGAAGGTATCACAGCACAGAAAGTATGCAATGTTGCTGGACAAGAGGAAGAAAGGAACAGGGGAAGATGCAAGAGAAGAATGAGAAGAATGAGAAGAATGAGAAGAAAGAAGAATGGAGAGAAGAAAGAAAGAAAACAGAAGCCAGGAAGGAGAGGAGGAAGTAAAGGTTAAGAAGAACTCTCGGAGTAATAATGGAGGAAAGACAACAGCCTACCGCCCCCGCAGGCGCCGCCCCGGCTCCTTCTGCGCGCGGCCACATGCTGGCGAGAGCCGAGGTCGCGCAAAAATGCACTGCAGCAATGTGGTTGCGTGGTGGCTACGCGCTAATCAAGCCTAAGCCTGGGTGCTTATAGTCCGCTGCGGGTAGGTCGGTCATCGACAACCACCGACCAGCGAAAAAACAGAAGGAACGACGCTACGCATTTGGGGCCAAACCGCCTGTCTGGGCAACAGTCTGGGGGAAAGAACGACGGGGAACCGTGAGGAGGGGCATGCACTATGGCAGGGGAAGGTGGCGTTGGAATGCTTGGAACAGGGCCCCAGAAATCGGGTATGGCTCCGGAAATAGCTAGGGTACTTCGGAATCGTAAGCGGACGCACTGCAGGTTTTTGTACCCAGGAGGAAAGTGTGCCGAGGCACACTTTTTGGGGTTGCTCGTTTGACCTTTCCCCATAGGAAGGCACGACGGAGGTGGAGGCAACTAGGCTTGGGGATGGAAACTGCGACGCTTTCGCACGCGAAAGAAGGAGGCCACTATTAAAGTGGGATCCAACAGGTGGACACTCTTCTGAGGAGTTCGACGCCTTCGAGAGTGGCACCAGAGATCATTAATCAACCATCTCACATCGTTCCTTCCGCTGCGAGCAAGAGGTCCTTGGGCGAAGGAAAGTGGTATTAACCACATCATGTGATGGCTCGACGTTAAAGGGAAGGAACCGCCCGAGTCCTCTCCATATCTGTCTCTCGGCTCCGTGGTTTTGAATTGCTTCAATCCCCTTTTTTACACCACCACGTTCACACCGTCCTCCAAGCACCCTGGTACAGCTGCACATCCGGGTCGCAAATGGTCAGTCGACCGCCTTGGCACCGACTCTCCGGATCCGACCATTGTGGCAGCCATGTACGGGTTCTAGCCGACAAAGACAGTTCTGAGACCGTTGCACCGGCCAGTATCGTTGCTGTTTCAGTTTGCCGCGTATCGACGAACCGTGCAACTATCGCATCCTCGCGTCTCTGTCGACGAGCAATACACTAGTACAGTATGCGCTCTATCGCGGCACAGTATGAGGCCCGACAGATGCTGGCACTTTAGTGACCCTCCCGTACAACTCGCTAAGATGTATTCGCACTGGTCTCCAGCTGGCCAATCATGTCTCACAGTTCGCTCACTGAGTAGAATTTCATTTTTCTCTCACCCGCTTTCGACATTCCCAGTGTGAGATATCACTGAGTCCCTCACCTCGCAATCTGATTATCTTTAGGCGACGAGGCGCGTGCCGTGACTGACAGACGAGACTCTCGTGTTTACGAAAGAAAGGGGGTACAAATCCAAAATACGGGTCACAGAGCCATGAAAGCCATCATCACCTCGATCCCGTCTCATCTCACAAAATCAGGCTCTACCGTTGGCCGTCGCTTACTTTCCGCGGAATATCAGGTTGCCAGAACCAGTAGACGTTGGCTGGTGACAGTCGATCGCCCACCGCATATTCCTCTTTCACAGGAAAGGAGACCTACGTCGAATTCCTCGCCTGGGCGCGTTTTCACCAACGGCATCTCATACAGAGCCATGTCATCTTCGGCACTGGCAACGTCATGCAGCCAGCCGGCGGGAGTCCCGGCGAACAACAAGAAGAAGAGAGCCTACATTGCTTTGGGCGGAAATCTGGGCGACCGCATTGGCTGGATTGAAAAGGCATGCCGCGAAATGGACAGTCGGGGCATCCGGGTGCTACGGACAAGCAGCCTGTGGGAGACGGAGCCCATGTACGTGCTCGAACAGGACAAGTTTGCCAACGGCGTGTGCGAGGTGGAAACTGATCTGGAACCGCTGGCGCTGCTGGATCAGCTTCAGGACATTGAGCGGACGCTTGGGCGCAAAAAGTTGATCGACAAGGGTCCGCGCAACATCGACCTTGATATTTTGCTGTACGGCAATGAGACCGTCCAGCACGAGCGGCTCATTATCCCCCATATTGGCATACCGGAGCGGGAATTTGTTTTGCGACCACTTGCACAGTACGTACCTGTCTCCTCTACGTTGTGAAACTACCGATTCCGGACAAGGGTGTGGCACCGCAGCTAACCTAGTCAGACTGGCACCCAACATCCCATTGAACCCGGTGCGCCCCTGGAAGCTTGTTCAGGACTACCTCAACGAGCTGCCACCACAGGCCGAGCCCCTGACTCCTTTGACACCCTTTGGCCGGTCCCATGCGCCACTACAGGCCCTGCGTGCCAACCGCCGCACAATCGTTATGGCCATCCTGAACGTCACGCCCGATTCATTTTCTGACGGCGGAAAGCACTCGGCCGCCGATACAGAATCTCTCGCCGCGCTGGCTGAGACGGTGAAAGGATTCGTTGCAGCGGGCGCTACGGTGATTGACATTGGCGGCCAGTCGACGGCACCGGGCCGGCCGCAGGTGTCGGCAGATGAGGAGTTGGCACGCGTGGTGCCGGCGATCCAGATGATCCGTGCTGACCCTGCGTACGACGCAATTGCTATCAGCGTGGACACATACCGGGCATCAGTGGCCGAGGCTGCGGTGAAGGCAGGCGCTGATATGATCAACGATGTGTCGGCTGGCGATATGGACGCGGATATGCTGCCTACGGTAGCACGGCTTGGTGCCACAGTGTGCCTAATGCACATGCGTGGCACGCCGGAAACGATGAGCAAGCTGAACAAGTATGGTGCCGCTGAGGGTTCGCCGGACAGGGAAGGACAGGCTGCGACGACCAGTACCGGCAGTGTACCGATCATCGAGGCAGTGGCACGCGAACTACTGGTGCGTATTGAGGCGGCCGAGGCGGCCGGCATCCGCCGGTGGCGCATCGTGTTGGACCCGGGCCTGGGCTTTGCCAAGGTGGGCGACCAGAATATTGACGTGCTGCGGCACCTATCGGAGCTGCGCGAATGGGCCGGCCTGGAGGGCCTACCGTGGCTGGTGGGCTCGAGCCGCAAGAGCTTTATCGGGCGCACGACAGGCGTGGCCACGCCGGCGGAGCGCGTCTGGGGCACGGCTGCAACGGTGGCAGCAGCAGTGCAAGGCGGTGCGGACATTGTGCGAGTGCACGATGTGAAGGAGATGGCACAGGTTGTTGCGATGGCTGATGCCATATGGCGGTACTAGCCATGGGTGGGGAAAGCGAGCGAAAGGGCGGAAGGGGGAAGGGGGCAGATGTGGAACTCGCACATCAGCGAAAAGGCCCAACACGGGCAAAGTTTGAAATTGAAGAACAGCATATTTAGACAACCCACCATAGAGATAGAGGCTACGGACTCGAGTTTCCGGTCAAGCGTTTTGCGTTTATTATTTGTTGATCTAAGAGTCGCCGGCATCCTTCATCATTTGCCGATGATAACGCCCATACCGAGCCGTAAACATCATACGTCGTATGTGACACGAACGGTAGTTGCTACGAAGCTGAGATGCGAGATGGTGTGCAGCAACAGAAGGTAGACGAAACTCTGGGTCACCGGCACAATGTAAGTTGAGCGAATATTTAAGGTGGCGAAATGTGGCCAGGGAAACGCCCGGTTTTCCAAGCACCGATGATGAAGCAGAGCAACATGCTCTGCTGAAAAGTCGTTAACATTAACATAGTCAGTAACATTGCGTGGTGAAGCAATAAGGTTATGCATGAGCCTAACAACCGAGCGCTAAAGGCGGTCCGCACCGCCCGCGCCTGCCTCCCCGGTGAAGCCAAAGCTCTTTCAAAGCGGAAGGAAAGAGATAACAATTTTATGAGCAACGCAAAGCACCTACTAGTCGTACGATGACGGGTAACATCTTCCAAGTGTTGTAAACGCGTGTTTCCCACCCATTACTCTCTCCATACCGACCATCTCAGCGTCAGAGCGTGCCATGGCGTGCTGGTGTCTCAGGAGCCAGAGCTAGATATCGACAGGGAGGAGAGAAATGGACTCATACGGGCAAGGCGAGATAATCTGTCCTACCACCAGTCTGGTATTGTCCCATGCTCACAGCCTGCCGTGCATGGTCGCTTCATTGTCAAGTCCACGTGGGATTGTGGGGTGCTCGGAGTCTTCGACAGTATCTTGTGCAACACTGAAGCCAAGAATTTTCATGGCCAATGTAGCGAGAATGCAAGATCATTGTCTCGCAAAATGCTCGCGATATCGAAACGAAGTAGCTCGTACTCAGTACTTTGTAAGTTTATGCCTCGCATTTCGCACTCGCTTTTTGGGACTTATTGGGGAAAGTGGAGCCCATGCGAAGTTGGAGCCGTGTGGGATCTGATTGTGACCAGTTATGTTCGGTACTCATTGACAAACCCCATTGTGCTATCAGATTCAAGAAAGCATGTCGTTTCAGTATGCTCTCCCTTGATGATAGTGTTGTTTATGTTTGGGCAGCTAGCTTCTGCTAGCCAAGGCTGGGCCGAAACAACAAAACGAGAAGCACGCAACAGTGTACGTTGTAAGTCGTACGTCGTACATTCAAATGGAGACGAGGTAGGAACATAAAAAGAGAACACGAAAAACCACACGAACTGGCGTTTAATGAGGGTTCAATTGTGCATTTCGGATGTGCAGGGACTGTAACCGGCGACAGTGCCGATAATTCATGTAGCTGGCCTGCCAGCCCAGGCCTAGTTTCCGGAGCTCTTTGCTTGGCGATGGCCAAACCAGGTTGCTTGTGAAGCTATGCCGCGCTTCTATTTCTCAAGAGTCAAGGACAAGGCAGGACGAACAGACCGATGCGATGGGGACGTTGACACGACTCGCCAACTGCACGGAGTCTTCTCAGTTGCAGGTTCCACACCACATCTGGCAGAGCGAGTACAAGCACTGAGTAGGTAAAAGACGAAGCGACAAACTAAGAAGCCGGAGTGTTCAAAAGTACGACGTGTTGCTGTGAACGAAAGATTGCCACACAGGACAAAAGTCAATAAACGTCGTACGGCCGTAATGATTGCAAAGCAAAGCGTGTCTCTCGCCAGGGAAGAAACAGGAGTGCCAAAAAAGGCACAGATATCGTCGCAGAGACACGGAATAGAAGCAAAGACTGGAGGCACAAGATGGAAAACCAACGCAAAACATGGAAAGTTTAGCGAGGAAATAGAGAGTCATATTGTCCTCGTCTTTGACAACAGGAAGAATGACTTGAAAGTGACCGTGATTCCCTGTCAATGGCAAAAGCAGGGTCTTTTACGAGGTGTTAGGGATTGGGGCGTTAAATGCAGGGTCACATCGCGCGCATTTTCAGCCCTTTTCTTTCCGTTCCTTCAACGACGTAATACGACGCAGCATTTTACCAGCCGAGCTTTTTCAGCACTATCTCAGACGGGACCTGATGAATTACGACGAACTTGATCCACCCGAGCTTCATTCCATCGGGGTAGCTTGCAATGGTTGTCGTACGGCGAATATGTCGTATATCGCAAGGCATATTTTACTTTGCCAAACTTTTCGTCTTCCATTCGTTGCCACGTTCTGGTGTTACCTTTGTCCCTTGACCCCTGAAATATGGCGTATTGATCGCATAAAAAATTTCTTTACTATTAATGGCAGCTTTTAAATTTTAGACTCGCCCGAGGGGGGATTTCCCACACTGCCAAGCTTCAAAACTAGGGCCAGAAACGGTTTGAAAGATTGCTTGATTGAGACCACAAGAGACATGAGACGACAAAAGGCGAATTGGTGAGACGAAAACAGAAAGGTTAGGGATGAGCCGACCTCCGTCTAATCAAGCTATTGTGCCCAGAGAGGCTCAAGGCCAGAAAAACGGTCTGGGCCAGGGTCGATGCTGGTGCACATTTGAACTGGAGGCTGGCCGCGTTGATGGACTCCACGTTGTCTCCATCCTCAATCCGCAGCCAACAGCGAGAATATGTCCTGGCGGAGGCGGTCTCTGATTGCAGGACCACTCTTGGCAAAATTGGTGGGAAGGGGGGAATGCTCCAAAACAGTTGACAAAAGGGACTTTTTCGATACCATATCCCAAAACCCAAAAGCATGTCAGACGCCAAGCCAGGCCAAAGCAAGCAAGAAACGACTCCTTCTTGCCCCCACCCCCAACCAGCAACGGCAGAGAACAGAGACGGAAGAGGTCCAAACGTGCGGTGGCTGGCAGCACGACCTGGGACCCAGTTTAATACAACGGCAGCTTAAAAAAAAGGGCGGCAGAATGGCAGACGATGGAGGAAAACGGACTCCAAAGACGTAACAGCAGGTGAATTTGCGCCGCACTTGTCTGGTCAGTAAAGTAACAATACGGGGTAATTACGTCGTAACATGTATGTGCCGCCCAGCATGTAAGCATTTGACTGAAGGTTAAAGAGAGCATGGGAAAAGAAAGGAAGCAGAAGAAGCAAAAAAAAAAAAAGACGAAGAAGCCTCCCTGTATTGTCGACAAAACAACGAGCATGAGAACGCCTGTCTGGTTGGCGGGTACGTACGCGCTTTGCGAGATAAAGACAAAGAGTTTCGTGTAAAAGGAGAGAACATAACAGGGCGAAAAAAAAGAGCTGCAGCTGCCAAGCCTGCATGCAAGACGCGAAGCCATGCAGGGCCCGTCCAGCGACAAGGCCATCCAGAACAGACACACTCTGATGGTTTGGGCATGAGAAAGAAAGGATTGTGGACCCTGTCCATTGGGCTTGGGGCTCTGTTCTGCCCTGGTCCAGACTGGTGTGTTGTCTGGGATGTTTTTGTTTCTTTGTACAGAGTATCTTGCAACTGACTTGTCTTCTTTTTGCCTTCAATTCCTAGCATCTTTCGTGTCCCGTACTATGCACTTCTCGCATCTTGTTTTCCTCGTTGTGAACTTGGCTGTTTCTTTGCATTCACCCCGTTTCCTTCTCTGATTTGTTCTCGTTTCTCGTTTCTTAAGTCTTGTCCTGGTTTCTTTTATTTATCTCCCTCTATCCACTCTACAACTGCCGGCAAGTCTGCTGCACTCGGCCTTCTCTTAACGTTTCCGTCAATTTTACTCTCAATTTCTAACGATTACGACCCCAACGACGACTACGCTTTACTAAAAGACTCAGTGAAACTTTTCTCTTTCTCTTTTCTTCTTTCCCTCCGTCTCACGCCCCAAATGCCCGCGTATATACGGCCAAGCTCAACCGGGCAGGGCCGGTCTGCCTCAACATCCACTATGGGCGGCAACACCAGCAGCAACGAGAAACCCCAGGGCGAGGCCGTTGTCGAACCGGGAGGCGAGATCGACCTCGAGGCCGGCCTGCCCGTCCCACCACCTGCCGCCACCGCTCGCACCTCTGGAGCTGATTCCCGTCCTCGTCCGTCAAAACGGACGGCCACTTTCTCCATCACTGCAGCCACGGCGGCCGCCGCAACATCAAGACCGTCAAACGGGACCACCGGATCGACAAAACACCCGGGGACCGGAATCGCCGGCGCCGGAGTCGTGCCACCACCAAATACACCGGCCAACACAGAACGGGCCACCCGGACCATCCGGCGCATGTTCTCGCGCAGCTCGGGCAAGACCGACGGATCGGGCCGTAGTTTGCGGTTCCGGCCGCGTACCGAGGGCGAGAGCGGCCGCTCGGGTCTCCACATTTCGCATTTCCTGCGCATCGCCTTCCGCTCGTCCAGCACGGTTTCGTGCATGGTCAACGTGCTGTGGCCTTTTGTTCCGGCAGCCATTGCCTGCCGCTATGCCCTCAGCGACTCGCCCACCAACAACCTGATCAGCTTCATCTTGGCCTACATCGCCATGGTGCCGTGCGCCAACCTCATTGGCTTTGCCGGCCAGGAGCTGTCGCGCAAGGTGCCGCACGTCGTGGGCGTCCTGACGGAAACGATTGTGGCCTCCATTGTCGAGATTGTCTTGTTTATTGTGCTGCTCACGCGCGGGCTCTACGTCGTCATCCAGGCCGCCATCCTGGGCTCGGTGCTGGCCACCATGCTGCTGTGTCTCGGCATGTGCTTCTTTGTCGGCGGCCTGCGCCGCACCGAGCAGGAGTTTAGCGAGACCGTCAGCGAGGCCGGCAATGGTCTCCTGCTGACGGCTGGTTTTGGTCTGGCCGTGCCCACACTCTTCGAGCACGCCCTGTCTGGCATGGTGGGCCTCGACCCCGATGACCTGGAGAGCCGCACCGTCAATGTGTCTCGCGTCACGTCCATTTTGCTCATTGTCGCCTATCTGGTCTTTATCTACTTCCAGGCCCGCACCCACAACAGCATCTACGACGAGATCTTTGAGGGCGAGGAGCAGCGGGCCACTGCTTTCGCTGCCGAGAGCGCGCTCGAGCACATTTCGCGCGGCGAGCTGGACTACCACGTCGACGTCGAGCGCGAGAAGCTGACCATGACCGAGTGCCTCATCTCGCTGTCTGTGGCCGTCGCCCTCGTGTCTCTGATCGCCCTGGCCCTGGTCGAGGAAATCGAAGACATTGTCATCGAACGCGGCGTGTCCGATGCGTTTATGGGCTTGATTCTCGTTCCACTTGTCGAGAAAGCCGCCGAGCACCTCACTGCCATCAACGAAGCGTGCGTCTACATCCTCTTGTCTCTCTCCTTCTTTTTTTATTTTTATTTTTTTATTTTTATTTTTCCTCCTCTCCTGCTAACACCAACAGATGGGACAATCAAATGAACTTTGCCCTCGCGCACGTACTCGGCTCCACCATCCAGACCGCCATGTTCAACGGGCCCCTCGCCGTCATCGTCGGCTGGGGCCTGCACCGCCCCATGGGCCTCGACTTTAAGATCTTTGACATGGGCGTCCTCATCCTCGCTATTATCACCGTTGGCAACTTCTTACGCGACCAGAAGAGCAACTACCTCGAGGGCTTGCTCTGCGTCATCGTCTATATTGCCATTGCCGTCGCCGCTTACCACTACCCGGACGTCAACACCCGAGCCGGGGGCACCGAAGAAGCCGCCGAGGTGGTCGGCCATGTGGCGCGTCAACTGCTGCGGCGGTGATCCGATGTGTCCAGCTACGCTTCCATTTTGTTGATTTCGTCTTCATGATATTATTTTTGTCTTGATAGCGCCTAGCTTGTTTTGCATTAATTCACCTTTGGTATGGATTGTCGGGACGCCACTATTGTTGATGTTTTGAACAATTTGCATTGGAGCAACCGCCGAATGGGCTCGGCAGGAATTGGGCTCGGGAAAATAGACACTTAAATTTGCACACAACGGAAGAAGACCGGAAAGAAAAAGAAGAAAAAATTCGTATGGTCTAATAAATCGAAACGGTCACTCGTCAAATGGAGCGCTTTCCAACAACCGAAGATGAACCAGATTGCCAACTCGTGTCTATCGTGGAGGGAACCCCAGCAATGTACCGCTATGCAGGTGTAATAAATGACTGCTCAAAACACACGACACACCCAGCAACCTCAATCTATCGACAGCTCCGAAAACGCCGTATGTCCCGTCTCCTTGGTGTGCTTGACCATATCCCTCTGGCCAGAGCCCAGCCAGTTCTCACACCCCGGCACCTCGCATCGGATTGCCATCGTCTGCGTGTCCGTGTAGTAGTGTGCCGACTTGAGCTTTTCTGCAAGCTGTTTGGCCTTGTCGATCACGCTGTCGTCGTCCACTCGCCACTGCGTCACATCCATGTCCACGGGCAGCCCCAGGTCAAACGACTGCGCGATACGGTCATAGTGGATGCCCGAGTACAATAATATGCAACGCGTGTCCTTGTCGAGGCCGTACGTATCAACACGGCCGTACTATTGGGTTAGCAGACTGTGTTCACTTCTACACAAAAGAAGAAAAACAGGAGTGAGAAAACACACCTTCACGTCGATTGAGCAAATCTGGATCCCGTAGATCTCGCTGAGGCACTGGAGCTCGATCGAGCCGCCCCATCGTTGCGGATCCTTGATACGGTTCGCGTAGACAGAGGGTTCGGTGTTTTCGAGCACCACTTTGGTGTACTTGTCTGGGTGCGCAAGGATGTGCGACGCCACTTCGGCACGTACCCGGGCCGCTGGATCTGATATACCCATGACGCCGCCAAACGCAGTGAACATGCAGCTGTTGTCATCCGGCATGACCCGCACCACTGGAAGTTCGTTTTAGAAAAAAAGAAGAAGAAAATCATACAAGAAAGAGAAACCCCCCTGCAAAACACAGGATACATACCCAAATAGCCACCGCCTTCGTCCCATGGCACGACTGTCTCGTCAACGTCTACTCGTTTAGGTGTAAACGGCTTTTGTGCTGGTGCCGGTGGAGGCGCAGATGCTACAGGAGCTTGCACTCCCGATGGTGGCCCGCCCGCCAGTCCACCGTCCGTCGGAATCACCATGAGCGTTTCCCCATTCAGCTTCAGTGGTGCGAGTGTCTTGGACTCCGCATCGGATAGGTCGAGCGCTGTTGGCGGATACGCCGCCTTGAGTGTGAAGCTATCGACCCCAGTCTTCTCCCGGATGTGTGTTAGAAGTTGTGCCAGGGTCCACTCATCGGCGGCTTCGAGCGTCACGATTTCGCTGGGGCCGCGCACGCGTATGCGAATCGGCGCCATATTATGGAGAGAGAGTGTGTGCGTGTGTTTGTGGCGCTGAGAGACGGTGAGGGAACCGATGTCGGGTCAGATCAGATCAGCAAAGAGCAAAGAGGACGACACCCAAGAGTATTCCAGGATATAAAATCGTCGAAAAATAAAGTCGATCACAAAAATGCACCCTCGCAGTTCTGAGATGCAGTGTGTATCGTTGGCGAGAAATGCAGGGAAGAGTCGCCGTTGGCTGTCGTGGTCTTGTCGTCCGTTGATGCTAAGGGTTCGACTTGCCACTTGTGCAAACTCGCCCTAGGGAATTTATGTAACTTCTATAAACGCGACGGAAGAGTCCCGTGGGCTTTTCTAAAACTTGTCCTATATTGCGCGCAAAGCCTGGAGAGCAGTGGCGGCTTTGTCCGAGGACGGATTATGTGAATGTCAAAGAGAGGGGCAGGTGTGAAAGTAGTAGAATGCAGGCACTAGATCGGCTTCTCTGGGCTTCTCCTAGATTCCCGCCCGCCCGCATAAGCGCCAGATCAGAGCTGCCTCCGGTGGCAGAGGCCAGATCGACCACACTTTCCGCCAAAGCTTGGCAGGACCATAAGTTATATACTGATTAAGAACGCACCAATGCCGTACAAGTGCTCGTGTGCACCTTGTCCTTGCTGGGCACAGGCACGTAGAAGACGCACAAGAATCAAAACCTGGAGGAGAGGGACATAATCTGAGAGCCAAAAGCGTGCTGTTGTTTTCGGAGGAGACAGCGCCCGAGGCAAGCCAGACGGAATGGTGCCGCCGGGGGGGAATGGCGCAGATCTGATCAGGCTGCACTGGCGCTCTAGACGTTGAAGTGACGATTGCGGGGTGGCTAACGTGCTGTGACGTCGATATGCTTTGTGTCTGAGTTGCAAAAACGAGAGCAAGTTTTACGATTTCAAAATGTCGAATGCGAGAAAGGGGGTCAAAGAAAGGGGTCCAACCTCTTTCCCTACTCCGTAAATAGAAGTCAGGCAAGTCACACAGCCTGTTATAGATGCGAAAGAGGAAAGAGGGAGGCACCACACTCCGTGGCAGGCGCGTCCGTGAGTGCCGTCGCTCTGCCGAGCTACAAATTGGCTATGGGGAGCCAAGAATGCCTGCTTAGTCATTTGACGCTAGTACCGGGTCGTGTCAAAAAGCGACTGGAAAGGGCGACCCTACGAAAAAGAGGAGCCGCGAAAGCGCAACTCGTGCCAGGAAACCACGTAACGACAGGAGCGCCAAAAGGAGCAGGAACGACGAGGCACGCTTGCAAGAACTGTTCGCGAAAGGACTTGCTTATTCACCTGCCCTTGCAGTTTCCGACAACTCCTCTTCACGCGCTCGGTGCTTCTTTCCCTGCAGACGAGAGCCACGGCGCGTCAACCTAGACAGCAACTAGACAACGATACAAACGAGCGGGGGAGCAACGCCGCACTCCCAACGAGATACACAATCGTGATCGCGATCACGACCCACGACCGGCAGCGGTGTCCCATCTCCACAACCGACAGAGCTTGGCGTATGCGTGTGCCACGCACCCCCAGGCGACGCAGTATACAACGCACAAAACGACCGCACAAACGCGCCTGAAGCGCCCGGCCATGGCGGGAGACGGCGTTGCAGAGAAGCAACTGGGGGGTGCCGACGCGTCCTCTGAGGTGCACGAGTCCATTGAGGCCAAGGCCACGAAGCCTCGGCCGTCGGCCATGGAGGAGGACGCCGATGCGGACGGCGACGGAGACGAAGACGCCGATGGCGAGGCTGATCCTGACCTGGACGCCGACGGCGATGATGACATCGAGATGACGGACGCGGCCATGGAGGTCACGCCCGGTGCTAGCGATGACGCCAAGGCGGCGCAGGCAGCGGCCTTCCGGGCCAAGCGTGATCTGCTGCACCTAATTGAGACGACGGCGCACTACCTCAGCACATACGAGGAAGAGTAAGGTGGCCCGAGACCCACAAAGAAAAGCAACCGAATTTGCGAGATGAACGTCCAATGCTGACCTTGTTTTTTTATTTCTCCTGCAGTGGCATCGAGGTTGCCAGTGGCTTTCAACGCATCCCCAACAAGCGGGTCATCCCCGACTACTTTGACATTATCAAAGAGCCGACAGCCTTCAGCACAATTCGCGGCCGCGTGCAAAAACGAGTGTACACGGACTTCACGCAGTTTGTTCGCGACGTGGCGCTCATCTGCCACAACGCCCAGGTTTACAACCGCCCCTCGGCGCCCATCTTCCAGTACGCCGTCAAGCTGCGCGAGATTTTCAAGGCCAAGCTGCAACAGCTGGTCCAGGACGGCAGCATCCAGCCCAAGGAAGCCGAGCTGCCCTACCTCGGCGAGATCCCCGATTTCTCGCCGTCGCCACCGGCTGACGACGACGACGATGGCGAGCAGGACGAGGATGAGGATGAGGACGAAGAAGAATCCGAGGACGACGACGACGACGACGATGACGACGTCGATTCGGAGACCGGTCGGCGGCGGCGGAAGGGTGGTTCTGCTGCTGCACGACACAAGCTTGTCAAGCAGAATGGTGGTGCCATGTCCTCCAAGATGTACACCGCAACAGAGGGCCGCATCAATGCAGTTATTGCCGGTCTGCAGAAGGCCGAGGACGAGGACGGCGACCCGCTGCTCGACCCGTTCGAGACGCTCCCCGACAAGGAGCTGCTGCCGGACTACTACGAAGAGATCAAGAACCCCATTGCCGTCGACATTATCAAGCGCAAGTCGCGCCGCAAGATCTACCTCACCGTTGACGACGCCGCGGGCGATTTCGAGCTCATGTTCAACAATGCCAAGCTGTACAACCAGGATGGCAGCGAGATCTTTGTCGCCGCCGTCAAGCTGCAGGCCCTCATGCGCCGCCTGGTCGCCCAGGAGCGCCAGAAGCCTGACGACGTCTTCCGCGACCAGCACGGTCGGCTGGCTGTGCCCGGTGTGCAGCACCTCGGCCAGGTGTGGCGCATCGGCGATTGGGTCCTGCTGCGAAACGCCAACGACCCGAGCAAGCCCATCGTGGCCCAGATCTTCCGCATGTGGTTCGACAGAGATGGCCGTGCGTGGATCAACGCCTGCTGGTACTACCGCCCGGAGCAGACAGTGCATCGCTTCGACCGTCACTTTTACGAGAACGAAGTGATCAAGACCGAGCAGTACCGTGACCACCCCTTTGAAGACGTGCTCGACCGCACATTTGTCATGTACCTGGAGCAATACGCGCGCGGGCGCCCACGCGGCTACCCCCCCAACAAGACGCTCTATGTTTGCGAATACCGCTACAGCGAGGACACGTTCCGCTTCACCAAGATCGCCAAGTGGGAGACTTGCGTGCCGGAGGAGGTGCGCGGCCTCGACATTCTGATGGAACCGTACCCGGCCCCGCGCCGCTTCCCCAAGTTCCCCAGTCCGATCAAGCACCTGCTGCATGCCAATGCAAGCGAAACAGATGCTCTGCCCAAGCCGACATGGGGCAATCCCAACGCGCCGCCAATGATCGGCTCTGTGCATCGCCGGCCCCGGCTGCCCAATGTAAGTTGTCTCTGCGAGTACGTTTGTCAGTTGGTATCCGTCTGCACCTTTCCACTGTCCTTTTGCCCCATTCGCCGTTGTTGTTACGAAGCCCCTGCGCGCGCGCGTATAATTTGACGAGCCCATGTTCACGTGGTTGCGCTTTATGGCGCTGGAGGGGTGCGTGGACTGTTTGAGATTTCTCTTTTTTCTTTGTCAGCCCCGCGGCTGTCCTGCCTGCCTGGGTGTCAAAAACTCATCACACTTGTCGCGTTCGCTGTTTCTGGAGCAAAGGCTCTGTCTGGACCTCATTCTCCATCCTTCTCATCTATTTTGCCCGGAGTCTTACTCCCATTTTTCTTCCTTCGATTGCATTTTTAAGAATCTCTAAGATCCACACTCCCAACCACCCGCCAACGACCGTTTCTCGCATGACGCGTGTCAATTGGCAAATCGGCCCGTTGTTATTCTTGTCTTTGTCCATTGGCTTTTTTGTTCTTCTTTGATACGTCGTCTTTTGAGACCTCAATCGCTAACATCCCCCGAAGGAGTCGCCACCCCCAGATCCAGCAGCGGTGCCACCGCCGCCGCCTTCTATGGCCAGCGACATGCACATTGACCCGTCACGTCGCGTGTCTGGGCCCGGCGCGCCCCAGGGCTATCTGCAACCAGGTGCTGTGCACCCCGGCCAGTCTCCATCACCGCACGCGTCGTACGCGCAGCAGCAGTTTGTACCGCGTCCTAGAGCCGTGCCCATGGCTCCAGGCACACCTGGGACGCCCAATGCGCACATCCAGCCGTCGCCCCATCATCACTCCATGCAGGCCATTGCGGCTCACCCTCCCGTGCCACCTCAGCAGGGCGGGCCAATGCCAGGCGGATCCCCCCACCTTTTGCCGCACAACAACTACAACACCAATACGCCACAGCATCAGCAGCAGCATCAAATGCTGCGGCAGGGCCCTCCCACGCCCGTCCAGCACAACCAGATGATGGTGCCCCCGCCGCCGCAGCAGCAGCAGCAGCTCCATCTCTCACCGCAACAGCATCATCCTGGAATGCCTCCTGCTGCCCCCGGCGGCTACAACCAGCAGTTCCCTCCTCAGCACCAGCAGCAACAGCACAGGATGGCGAACGCGCCTATGCAATCGTCGACACCGGTGCGCCAGACACCCATTATGCCGCCTGTGCCACCGCACCATCACCAACCGCCGCAACCACCGCAGCAGCAGCAGCAACAACAACAACATCAACAGTCGCACCAGTCGCAAGCTATCATGCCTCCCCCCGTGCCCAACGGCTATGTGCCGCCACGGGCGGCAGCCGAAGCGTTTGTGCTACCCGAGGACATTGATAGTACAATCCCCGACAGTCTGCGCAAGCACTATCATCGCGACGACAAAGGCCGCGTGCTCTTCTTTACGACACCGTCCGTCGGACACGGTGCGAATGGCGGAAGCGACGATCTGCCTGCGGACAACGTGCGCGCGGCGCCCGAGTACGAGGGCCTTGGCCACAGCGTTCGGTACCTCAACGGGCTGGAGCAGTTCCGCGAAGAACGACGGCGTAAGCGCAAGGAGCGTGACGAGCAGCTGGAAGCCGCTCGGCGCGACGCAGCGGGGCAGCAGGACGCTGAACGCGAGGCAGCCGCGGCGCGGATGTGCCATGTTGCGGGAGAAGCGCTGGGTGGGTTTGTGCAATGGATGAACGACGGGACACGGCTGATGTTTGAGGGCGGTGACGAGGAAACCAAGCAGCCGCTCGCCGCCACGGCCAGCAACTAGATGCGTCCAGACGAAAAGGGGTAACGGCCCGACGCGTGCTTGTCTTTGTGGAAACGTTTTGATCTTGCTTTCTTTGGCTTCGTTATGTGTTACTTCCTTGTCTGTTTTGTACAATTTTTTTGGCTTTGCTCTCTCACTTTTACCTACTTTTTCAATAACCAGGCGAATGGGTGGAAAGGTAACCAGGCGACATCTTGTATGTTAGAGTAGACACGGCGTCTGTTCCATGCACAACTACAAAATTGGACCAAGATGTGTATTTTTTTTATTTTTTTTATTTTTTATTTTTTTGTGGTTTATGTTTTCTTCTTCTATAGTCTTTCGCCTTCTTATTTTTGGCTTCTGGAACAAAATGATGGTTCGCGTTTGTTATACACAGTCTTTTCAACATCCCGTCAAAGGTCGCAGTGACAATACAACATAACCTTTTGCTCTTTTTACACGGAGACGTCTACAACAACAACATCGCTTCTCCAAACGGAGACCATCGACTGTGTCTAATGCTTGACAGCAAGGAACAGATTCGGTTGGTACGAATGGCCATGTGTCCCTTGCTGCGCGTTTCAAACCCATAAATAAACACGTATGAACATTGTGCATTTCCATGTTTATTTTCATCAACACGCAGGCTCGTATCGAAAACTGCCAGACCTTCAGCTTAGATGGATCGGACCGAAACAGAGACGCTCCGTAGTAAGGGATGACATACGTCAAGACGGATTTTGTCTCCGTGGGAGCGTCCAGTGGGCTGTGTCTTGTCTGCTTGTCAGATTTTGATTTGCTGCTACTCTTACACACTACAGAGGCTGGACGATGCAAGGAGGGGGTATTTTCAGACCAGATCCTGGGACTCGTCGTCAGCCTCAGTTGGTCAGGTCTGGTTGTGACGGCCCTATTTTTGGCTGGTCGGCTGTGCCCTTCTCAGCCATTTCTGCGACGGCTGACGGCTGCTGTGGCCTCTGGATCTTTTCTTAGTGACCATTTTGTTCCTCTAGATAAAGCGCATGACGTCCATTTCGAATCTTTCTCGGTTTCTCGTCTTTTTCTTATTCGTAGTCGTCATGCACACTGTTCCAATCAAAGAGAAGAACGATGGCCCTATCGGTCCACTGACTTACGCATCCAACAATTCGCACGCTGCATGTCCAGGTGAGGTCACCCTTTTTTGTTTGAGAACGGAATGACATGAAGAATAGCACAGGACAAAACAAGAGCAAGTAAACCAAGAAGAAAGAAGAAATGAATCTCATGCTTAATATACCCCTTGGGCAATAATTACAACTATTTGTAAGTTGGTTTTGGTTAACCTCCTGCTCCTTCGATACAAATAATTCTATAAACAGAATAAAAGTCGATGAAAAGGCAATGAAAAGTCGTCAACTAGGTCCCCAACAACGACTCCCAATCCCGACAAAGAAACTCGGGCTGCATTGTCCCTATGATTGGTGAACGAAATCATGCTCTATGATGCCGAACGGGAGAAATGAGAAGACACGAGAGATAGAGAGAACAAACACCCAACATCTGCTTTGGCAAGTATTACCAACAATTAAGAAAGGACAAAAAAAGGAATACATATGCCCTACCAACCTTTCTTGCTTTCCCGTTTCGTCGTGGCCGACTAACTTCGTTCCCACAACAGACCTGAGAGACAAGAAGAGCGAGGCACGGCAAAACACCACATTAAAACGCCTGGCGGGATTCGGCAAAACAAAACAAAACAATAGAATTATGATAAGTCGTCAAAAGGGAAAGGACCCCGCGCTTTGTGTCGCTAACGTCTTTTTATAGAACGACATCTTGCAAAACGCAACAATACCAACGCCGCCGCTGCAAGTAAGTCAAGACTTCAGAGCCCAGCGTATTTTCGATTCGATGGTTGATGAGGCTGGGAGAAAAGCACTCCATGGTTCTGTCCCGGCTCCCTTGTGCCTCCGTTCAGCTTTTACCACTCACGCTTGGTGAACGTCAGAGGGCAGTCGTCCTACATCAACGTTAGTTATGTCCTCTCGGGAAGGAGAAAAAAAAACCGTCATAAAAAGACACAGTCGTCACTGCCATTGCGACTGTTGGCTAACTAACTCACCTTGGGGAAGATGGTGGCAAACACCTTAATCTCCTCGGACAAGGGGGTGGCGTGGTGCTCCCACTTAAGCTGCAGCGAAGCCATTCCGATGAGCAGCGCCAGGTTGATCTGCGCATACTGCTGGCCCAGGCAGTAGTGCGGACCGACGCCGAACACCAAAAAGTTCTTGGCACCCTTGGTCTCGGCGTCACCCGAGTAGTAGCGCTCCGGGTCGAACACGTCGGGATTGGCGTACACCTCGGGGTCGCGCAGCGCCAGGTACGTCGTCGGGATGACCATGGAGCCCTTGGGCACGGTGTACGTGTCGGTGATGGGGAAGTCCTTCTTGGCCAAGTATGGCACCATGAGGACAGGCGGGCGGTAGCGCAGCAGCTCCTTGACAACGCAGCGCGTGTATGTCATGGACTCGACCTGGTCCAGGCTAACATCGCCGTTGGGGTCGCCGTTGCGGACCTTGAGGTTCTCGTCGCGGACACGGTCGAGGATCTCGGGGCGCTGGGCCATGAGCTGGAAGAGCCAGGTGCAGGCGCTGCTGGTGGCGTCCTGGGAGGCGAACAGGAAGGTGAAGATGGTCTGCGAGATCTCATAGTCGCTGAAGTCGCGCACCAGAGGGGACGGCTTCTCGAGGCCCTCAGTGTTGCCCTTGGCCTCGGCCTCGCGCCAGCGCTCCGAGTCGATCATGGTCTTGATCCAGGCGTCCATGATGCAGTCGACTTCGCCGCCAGCCCGCATGCGGACCTTGCTCTTGGCGGCACACTTGGCAAACTCGCGCAGAACCAGGTCGGCCGCCTTCTTGCCGTACCAGGTACGCGTGAAGGGAATGATGATGGGGAAGTTGACGAGCTCGAGGGCGGCGGTGATGAGGTAGTAGTCGTCGGCGATCTTCTTAAGCGACTCCTCGGGGAGGTAGTGGCCGACAAAGGTGCGGCACGACACGGCGCACATGACCTCACGGAACTCGGGCATGAAGGGGACCGGCTTGCCGTCGTGGTCCTTGGTGATCTGGACGAAGCGCTCAAAGTAGCGGCGGTAGACGTCGGTCTGGCCGGGCAGGTAGCACTCGAGGGCCTTGCGGGTGAAGAGGCCGTTGAGGCCCTTGCGGAAGTCGACGTGGGCCTTGCCGTCGAGGAAGACCCAGTTGTCGGCACCGAGCAGCTTGTGGGCGACATCGACGACACAGGGTTTGACGAAGCTCGGGGCGTTGAACACCTTGCGGGCCATGTCGCGAGTGGACGCAATGACCACGAACCTACATGATTAAAGCAATTGGTTAACAAATCACAACCGCGCCACCACCATGCCATGCACTTGATCCCCATCGCAAAAGCCCCCCCCCCCCCCCTCCGGGATCACAGCTGTCCGTTGTATACTCACTTGTGGAAGACAGAGACGCAGCTCAGGGGGCCGCTCTGCCACTTCGCATAGTACTCCTCGAACTTGGGGTTCACACTCTGCAGGAAGGGACCCATAAAGGGCAGCTTCATGGCCGGGCCGACAATGGAGCCCTTGCGCCAGATGTAGCTTACTGTTTTTTTGGCACAGGCCGTCAGCAACAAAGCAAGGCCAAGACGCAGGCCAGAGGACGAGCGAAAAACGAAGAGAAAGGGGCAAAGGACTCACTCTGGTCGTAGAGGACAGCCGTGACCAGCAAGCCCAACAGGATCTGCCAAATGCTGGCATTGGCAATGGCGTTGATCACAGGTTCGAACTGCACGGGCAGCGCGCCGGCGACATACTTGGCGTTCGCCAGCGGCGACGCAAAGGACGTCGCGTTCGTGGTCTCCATTGTGAAGCGAGTCGCGTATACAACTGTCCGGTCTGGATCGGGTGGGTGTTTGGGAGTGGGCGGAGAAGGGGAGGTGACGGACTGGCAGAGGGCGAGGAACAGCTAATAAAAGGAGATGCTGCGATCCGCGCGTGGGTGAAGAGACAAGAGTCGGAGCGGTGGGTCAAGCTGGTCGGTCGATTATTTCTCCTCGTCCGGGATTGGGTAGGTTGGCGGAGGGAGAAGTCAACAGGAAGGAACGAGGCAATACGATTGAAAAGGGAAAGAGCGGACACGACCAGGGGAGACGGACAAACTCAAGAGAATGGGGAAGGGGCGGCATCAGAAAAGGAGGCCGGTTCGGTGGTCGAGTGGGAAGGAAATGACCGACGGGACAGAGTCAAGGGACAGAGGCTAAAGACATGCGTTACAGTAGTGGATTTACTGGGACGGATGCGCCGCGGGCGCTGAAAAATCATAAAATCATCGGCGGAGGCACCAGGGAATCCACATCGTCTGTTGTTTAAAAAAAAATCTTTAAGAAGACGGCTCTCTCATTTGGGACCCCCTTTTTTCACTGTCGCTCTTTCCCCAAGAAACACAACAATTCCACGCCAAAACAAAGCACAGCCGGAAATTACAACGTCCGCGCTTTCCCAAATGCGATGCCACAGGCAATCACTCCAGCATCAGGTGGGGGCTGGTCCCGGCCAAGGGAATAGCTGGTCCTTCCCTTGCTTTCATCCATTTTTTTTTGGTCCTGTCAACTCTAAATGCGTCGCCGTTCGAGTCTCTAATTACTCCATGCAAATTAAGTGAAAAAAAAGTAGCGATGGAAAATAAACGGGGCTGACCCATTAAAACCGTTAGCTGCGAAACATCGCCGTGCTACCAGTATGCATATCTGTTCCTGCCGTTCTTGGATTCCGGTCGATAAAGTCCATCCGTAATGTACGATACGTAACCCGACAAATTGGGAAGCCGTGGCTGGCAAACGTCGTGACATGTACGGAGTATGGCCCGAGGAAGGCGCGGCTGCTGTGTCATTGTTCCACTCCTTCCTCCGCTGCCGCAAACTGGTTGTGTTGATTTTTGTTGGGGAACGAACGAATGCGAATAAGAGAAAATCGGATGTCATGGACGGCCAACTGGCGAATCAGAGCGCGCCGTTGGTTGGCAAGATTGCATGTGCAGTGCCTGCGCTTCGTACTCGTATGCGGGAGGTCAAATACAGTGCGGTCTCAGAGCCTCCTTCGGGGCGCATTAGGACCTTAAGATACCTAAATAATACCAGTTTGTTTCCCTGCCATTCCTGGCAACTGCATGCAGACACGCGTATGCTGTTTTCGAGGTGCTATCTCCGGGCACTCTCCATTCGCGCCTTCCTTGCCCGAAGCCCGGCGCCCACAATGGACACTGAGAAGCAGGAAGCTGCCTCGTGTCTCTTTTAATTATTAATACTCCGTAGTTTTCAGGGCCGTCTAGAGAGTGAGCTCCAGCGTGTCCGAAAGCCCGGAAACTACGGCAGCCTTTGCTCGTTCCTGGTGCTCCTACGGCGTCCTTCCAGGGGCAAGTGTCCGTAAAATCGCGCCGGTGGCCCCTGCAGCGCCAACGGCAGCCATTGGCCAATTGCGTGCTGGTTGTCTGCACACTTTTTTCAGTCACCGCCTTTTAGCGGTTGCTCCTTCTCCACGGCGCAATCATTTGCGCGGAAATGTTTGTCGTCCTCCGTAACTGAACACAGCTAACACCTGCGAGTGGGAAAACACCGAAAAGAGGCTCCAGCCTTGCACTTACCCCCTAAGGCCAAGCAACGACCAGCGGCACAAGGCTCGGAAGCCGTCAGCAGAACCACAAGGCTGTCAATGACAGAAGTCTGTTCCAAGTACAGTCTGTGCTTGATATTTGGTTTTTGTTACATGACTGGACTGGACTGTACAATGGCGTATTCTCATCTAGACGTCCGTAACGCGTCGCTCAAAAGATGGCCAGTAAACATGGCGCTCCAAGACACGCGGCAATCATAGAAGCCCAACCCGAACGTTGGCCCTGCCCATATGTTCAAGATCCCCAGATGTATTGCCGTCTCTCCGAGAACTATCGGATATGCCTCAGAATACCCCGACACGAGTCTCGGCCGTCATCCTCGGGCCCTAGAATCTCCGGTGGGGACATTGGATGAACTATCACGAGGTGCATCGAAACGGACAAGACCCAGAAAGCCTCATCACGGGACCGAGAGAGGGAGGCAAGCGTCGTCGCTTTATAAAGTCGCCCGCTAAAGTCATAGTCACGTCAAGTTCGCGATCCTGTCGACATTCGTTCTGGACATGAGACCATGAGGGCGACCTTGGTAACGGAAGGAAATGCTTGTCACCCTACAACGCCACCAGCCGTCCGATGTTTTATTGTGTCCAAGTGCCGATGTTCTCACAACGACAGTATCCGATCTTTTGTGTCGTACTTCAACAGCCACACACCAATAGCCACACCCTCCTGCTTGACGCACCATTCATCCCAAGTTGAGTGAACAAGCGGGACATCTAGCGATCGAGCATGTGGCCGATGCAGTAGTAAGACGGCCATATTCGGTAGTACCACAGTTGCATTAGGTCACATTTTCCCTTGACCACTCTCTTATGACACAAGATCTTTGCATCTTGGCAAAAGTGTCAAAGGGGCGCCAGGCATCCATGACGGCAAGCTAGCGACATCAGCGACATACAGTGTCGACAAGGCCGCAATACCAATGTCATCCTTTATTTTAGGATACAGAGCCTCCAGGGGTGGATCGCTTATTTCAATGTCTTTTTTTTTTGTCTTCCTTTGGAGGAAGCCGGCGCTGCAGAGCCACTGGCCACGCTCTCTGCCAAACGACCTTCCTCTTTCTTCGATATAGTCCTGGCTCGAGGTAAAGACGACGTAGGCACCCCAGGATAGAAGCTGCCCAGGCCGAACCCTTACACATACGAAGCAGACTCGAGAAAAGAGCGAGCCCGTTTTGTATTTCGTATCTGTGGTGCGTCACGGGTAAATCGAACAGGGTAAATCCAAATATGCGAGTGACGATACCCACGAGGAAGGACTTTAATAGAATTTAAAAATGCGACCCATGCCATCCAACCCCCCCTGCCACCAGGTTCAAGAGTCTCTTAGAAAGATCAATACAGCCGCCCATCACACTGTCACTCTTGCTGGTCCTTCTGTATGGTTCTGCTTACGGCTCCGTGTCCCGCATGTGGCACAGGAACGGCTCTTGACTCCACCTGAAACATGTGCATTAAAGGGTTTTGATCAAAATCGGTACCCAGGAGACGATCTGGTTATTTTCTCTCTTTAGCAACATGCAGGGTCGTGATTGTGTGTCCCTGGTGGCTCCTCTTCTCAAAAATACTATCGACGAGAATGTCAAAATAAGCAGATGTGTGCACCCGCAAATTATCGTAAGCGCGGGTTTGCGTGCATGATATATGTGACATCGGTAGCGCGCCTGAGTCATAAGGAAGTAATGCAGAAACAAGCCTCACTCGTGCACCCCATGCGCAGGTGACGAATATAATTCACTTCTGTCACGTTTGGGGTGTATGGATACCGGTTATGCAGTCATACGGCCATGGCCCTCTGCAGATGCCATATTTGTCCTTAAAGAAAAAAAAAAAAAAAAAAAAAAAAAAAAAAAGGAACCGTCGTCCCCAGGCGGAGCGGCAAACTTCGTGTAAGTCTAGGACTCAACGGGCAGAATAGCAGTTGAGACCTGTAAACCGAACGGGTGAATAAAGGGGGCAGTGTTAGGTAGCGGCTGGCACGTGGATTCTGGTCTCTTATTCTGGCTGTGTGCCACTAGAGCATAATGACCAAACAAGAGTATACAGATGACGAGATGCGGCCGAAAGTTCGCCGGGTAAGCAGTTAAGTCCTTCCGCGTTTGGATGGTGACGTATAAGGAGACAACAGCGAACAGGCCGGCGGTGAGCATGCAGTAAGGCACCCATTCCGGTATTAACCTGCAACGGCTTCCAGGCAACAATCCAGGACAGATAGACTTGGGCATCCATTTTCCAATTGCAATATAGGCAAATTGGTGTTCTGTGGACCAGATGTGCTAGTTCTAGACTTGCATTGTAAACAATAAACTTCATCCTTATAATTCGTACTCGGTCTAACCTCACCATCATAGACCAACTATCACGGCCCTCTGGACATATTTAGAGAGCTCTCTCTGCCTCTCTGTCTGCCTTCCAATATCAATTTCAGTGAAAATAATCAAACAAGCAACTCAAAGTACCCCATGACTACTTAATATTTAGCAAACACATAACTTATATCTCCTGCTCATTTCGTATATAATAACACCAAAAAAACTCACCCTCCCGAACACTATTATCAGGGAGCATCCTACATCAATCTTGCCCCTTTCCCAGACCAACAATCACAAAGCTGTCATTATGAACCACAACGGAGTCAACCCGTATTCGTCGACAAACTACCACAGTGTGGACCGTGATACTGCGCGCACTCTCATCAACGATATTACATACAAACCATCTGCTGATGAGATCGCCGCCATAGAGCGCCATGAGGCTGCTCGACAGGCTGCCAAAGACGCCAAAGCAGCTCGCAAAGCGGAGAGGGCAGAACTGTCCAGACAGGCCAAACAGGCCAAACAAGACAGACAGGCCCGCAAACATGCTTCATCTTACAGCGCCGGTGCTGCCTACAGTGCTCAGTCTTATGGTGCTGCTTCCTACAACGCCACCTCGCATCCTGCCGGTGCACCCTCAGCAGCAAATGATACCTACACCTCCCAGCCGACCGTTGCAGATGACAAGGCCTCTGTCTTCAGTGGCGGTAGCTCGCGCAGCTACAGCAGTTTCCGCAGTCTGCTGTCCCGCAAGCACCACGGAAAGGGGAAGAAATAAATCAGTGCCACGAAAAACAGGACACTCGTTTTATTTTCCAAGAGACGCCCTCTTGAAAACAATATTAGCCTTGGTCTCCTTGTTTTAGTGATTATGTTTACTTTCAACCTCTTCCTACGTCGCCTACAGAAAACACAACAGAGTGAATAAAAAACGGAAAGCAAACAGAAAAGAAAGATATATACCCAACACTTACAACACGGAGCAATGTCTCAAAGGATATTTACACAGCTTGGTTTAGAAGCGTCACCGTGCCACGGAGGATCCGGTGAGTCCGTCCGCGGCTCGGGATCTAGAGACGGACAAACCTAGGACGGGCCACGATATTGGCTCAGTGTGCTAAAGGGACCACGAAAAGGCTTGAAGGCAATGCTTGTCAAGGCATTTTTTACGGCTTATTGTCATAAAAGTCTTATTTAGTAATATTGATTGTTGCCCGCACAACGTGTACAACTGTTTTCGACTTATCCTTAATAGACGTACTGATTCTTTGCAGGTCACATAAGAGGATGGTACCCTGCTCTTCTTTGTAAATGCTCTACTACAACCCCAGCTCGTTTCACACGAAAGGCACACGGCGTAGTAAGGCAAAGGCGCTACTAGTGGCATTAGATGAATATCACAAAAGTGACAATCAAAGCATGCCACAAAGCCCTCCGAAGAGAGGCAACCAGTACAGATTGAAATCGAGCAGCGAAAGTTAAATAACAGATTTTTTTGATTTGAATAGTATGTTTTAGTAACAGAAAAAGGACGTAACTAAAACGGAAATAAAAAAGGGAGGTGGCAGTAAATCTAAGATGCAAGAAAAAGGACAACAAAAACCCACTGGTGAAAACAAGTTATTTATAAGTCTATCAATTACCAGTCCCGTCCGTGATAAATAAAATGCAAAGCAAACATACCGCCGTTGTCCCAGTCTGATGCAACAAGGGTCATTGTCTTTTAATTGTCTTGTGGGAAGAAGGGGTTCGGGAAAGGATGAATAGCAATAAAGCGTGTATATGGGGAGGGGGAGGGAACTGAAATAGACAAAAACAAAACAATAGCAGCAAACAGGAGGGAAACAACGGCGAGTGCAGAGTGAAAACAAACAGATGCGGAAATGACGTCAAGCAAAACGTAAAAAAAATTGGACAGACCACCAAACAATGTAATTGCCAATCGACGAACGCACAACAAGGGAGGTGAGTTAAGACTTTCGAAAAACGCCGCAGATGCGAGGATAATACCGGTAACCGTCCCAGGGAGAGATAATTGACAGGTGAAAAAGACTGGCAAAGGAAACAGAGGAAAGACAAGAAAAAAAATAAAAAGTAAAAAAAAAAAAAAACTTTTTACACCAGTTATGCCGTCAGCTGCCGTGCCTTTCAGAATTCTGCTGTGACCGAAGAAGATGCGATAGCTTCTTGTTTTAAAGGAGGAATTTGCCGAGGCAAAAATAATGAATGCCGTCCCTGGAGAAACCTTGTCGCCTTGGGTTTTGTCGCCATCGGCTGGAATTGATTCGCCATGTCCACATCACAATTTTGTTTGACCTTATCGAGACCAGCCAAGACCTTCGCAACTGTCCGCGACGAGCGGGGGTTCCCCACGGAGGGACCGTGGGCAGTGTTGTCGGCACCATCCAAACGACGTCTCGTCCAGGTAGCGCGGGCAAGGACGTCCTCGTGGAGACTCGCACTGGATTTGTTTTGCGTGCGAGTACGGTAAGCAGATTTAGAAACGTCCGGCATCGTACACGCTGTTCTGGAGTGTCATTCCGGCACAGCAGCATCAGCATCAGCATCAGCGCCTGCAACTCTTGGAAATCGCGGACGTTTCCTGTGAAAGGACGCTCTTCATACTTGACGTCGAGCGACGAGTCGCCGGCAGCAGCAGAATCGTGTATGGCAGCAAGTATATGTGATTGACGCAGCAAGGAATCACAGGCCACGTCGTTCATTGCGCGCACCTGGTTTGGGGCGAAAGTGTCGGCGTAGCATGAGCCAATGCATGCCATAGCAGAAAGTAGACCGGTGTAGGCTTCTGATAAACTAAAAATAGGAACATGAAGAACTGGAAAATGGACGTGAAAATGAATGTACATGTCGAGAAAAAAATATTTGCCGTTTTCGGGAGAGAACAACATCCTCAAAGTCATGGAGATCGAAGGGTTCTCTGTAAAATTGGGTGTTCGAAGAAGGTGAGTATTTGCGCGGAGAGCAGCAAGAACAGGTCCTGCGCTTGTTGAGGCGGACCCCAGAGGTCGTAGAAGAACGGCTGGTGGCTGGGTACATAGTCATCGTGACCTCCTTCCGCTTGAAGGTCGGCGTCGCCGGTTCGAAGCGACTTAGTTTCTAGGCTGGTTGCGTTCTGCGTCTGTCGAGAGTTAGATAGTGAGCTTTGATTGACTGTGCGAGATGAGCTTGTGAGTAAACATTGGGGGTATACGCACCGGCCTGGAACATCGAGGACCAATCAAGTCCCGACTGGGGGTTAGGGTTTTGTCCGGCGAACATGGGCATGCCGTTCTGGCTGGCATTCATGTTATAATTGGCCAGCTGGGGGTTCATGCCAGCGCCGTTGTAGGCAGCGGACTGGTCGTAGCCCTGGCCATTCTGGCCATTAGCCGGGGCAGGAGCACCGTTAGTGACACCACGCTGGGCAGTAGGGGCAGCGGTGCGCTGGTTCGGGTCAGTAGTGGCCGGGTCAATACGGGACATGCTGTTGGACCGCGAAATTTGCGCAGACTGGTCGTTGGGCATGTTGTTCTGCAAGCCATCGGCTGGCGCAGGGATCAGGCCGAAAGGGTGGACCATGCCGTCGCCCTGAACATTGCCCATGCCGTTAATGTGGTTCATGTCACCCGACTCAGCCAGATGCTTCTGCTGCTGCTGCTGACTTTTCTTGACGTGCGGCGTGGGGGTGCGACAGATGGCTGACACCGGTCGGGTTTCCGCGGCGAATCGAGCACTTTTGGAAGTGGCGCTTCAGGATGTCACTGCGCGAGAAGGTGTCTCTGCACAGAACGCACATGTACGGGCGATCGCCGGTGTCTTAAAAGATTGTTAGATTCAACTCGCGTGGATGGGAGGGAAATTCAAAAAGGCTAACATAATCCCTCGTCACTGTTTGCAAGCTCGAAAGACAAGACAACCAGAAAACATTGAACTATATAGACACAGTTGGCACACTGGGCAAAGGGAAAAAAACTTACGACGCAGGAGGTGGCGCTTTAGGTGCTTGGCGTGCAGGTACGTCTTCGTGCAGTGAGGACACGGGAACTTGCCGTCCGCATCCTTCTGCGGGATCTGGTTCTTGGTAACCGATCCGGCTGCGGGAGGAGCAGGTCTGCCGGGGGCGCTGGGGAGGATGCCGCGGCGGCCTTGAGAGCCAACTACATGAGTAGGCGGCTCGTTATCCGGAAGCATGTTCTGAGGCATCAGAGGGCTCTGAGTGTAGGGCGACTGCATGCCCTGCTGCGGCATGACACCGTTAGCGGGCATGGGGCGCAGAATCGGAGGGCCCCGGTTGCCTGGCGCAGGGGCAGGTGCGATCGGCTGCGGGTGAGCCATGGCGGTGGTGGTCTGCGGCAGCATGGCAGACGACGTTGGTGCGTACTGGTGGGTAGGCTGGTAGTTACCCGGCATCATCTGGTACGAGCCACGGCCACCGTTGGTGTTCGGAGGAGGAGGGTAGTTGTTCATGGTAGGGCCCGGGGTGTTGGGAGTAGCCGGGGTGCGCGGCGTGTGCGGGTAGCTGCCGTACGGGGTACCGTTTTGCATAATACCGTTGCCCTGCTGCTGTTGGTGGTGCTGCGGATGCTGCGAGTTGTGCTGGTGCTGCTGGTGCTGCAGTGGCGGGAGGGTATGGGGTTGAAGATTGTTCTGGGGCGTAGAAGCGGCCGATGATGGATAGGACGGAGTCGATGTGCCGTTAATCACATTAGACGAGTAGTGCGAGCCGTCCATATTATGGGTTCCTGTTTCCTCCTCGGATGACCTTTTCGATTAAAATGTTAGCTGTTTGGGTGTTCACGTTAGAACATAGTGTGACGCGTGGATGGGACGCGATGTGGGTATATATGTTGTGAGACAAAAGGGACACGACATTACTAAAGCCGAATCCAAAAAGCGCGCGGGAAAAAAATGGCGAGGAATCGATGCGCTTTGACTTCATTTTTCGTGTTTGGCACGAGTGAAAGAAAAAGACACCAAACGAATCACGGCGATGTGAGGGGGGCACAGGCACAAGTCCGGCCACAGAAGAAAAACATAAGAAAACGACAACAAAAAATGCACAATTCGAACGCGCATGAGAATCAAAGGAAGTGACAGGAAATGAGTGACAGTTGGTGCGGGTTAGGCAGCCAATGTGACACCCCCAAGACGCCGCAAAATCCAAGGACAGGACGACCAGGAACCGCAATGGAGCGGTAGCAGAGAGGACTAGCTAGACAAGAGCGAGGTCGGAGTGCACGCGCTCGCATCCAGTGAGCTAGAATATGCACGCCGACAAACAAGAGCGGCAGCAAAAGCAGCCCCAAACGGAAGGCAACTGCAGAGATTGGCCGAAAGAATAGCGTGGCGGTAGCATGTATATGGACAAGGGGAAGGCGGCGGAAAAGGTTACGAGCGGGCGCAGATAACCAGTGACACCCAAATGCAAGTGGCGGCCAGCACAGAGGACGAGAGAAAAGAGAAGAAAAAAGGCAACCAAAGAAGGGGGCACGACTCGGCTATGTCAGCCACGGCACGCGGCCACAGACCGTCACGTCAAGCCGTTCGTTCGTTGACGATCTGGCGGCTCGCATCAGGCTGAAAAGCGTAGTGAAAATCCCCGACCGACCTGAAGCCAGCCGTGCGTTCTTCCCCTCACCCTCCGCCGTTTTGTGGCTCCTTTTTTAACTTCTCCAGACTTCACGCGTTGTAAGATTTTGGCAACGTCTCCTGGACTCTGGGGGGCAAGAGACAACCGGTGGTAAGGGTGTATTTTGGAAGGGCAGGCGGCCCCGTCCCGTGTGGTTCAAGTTTGCGTAGCAAACGCGTATGGTCTGGCTTGTCGGTAGAGCAGGAAGGCAGGTAACGATGTTCGTCGCGTCTTGACCCGATATGCGAGAGACAAAGAGAGTCGAAAGTGCAAAGTTGTGCGTGTTTCGAAAGACTAGGGTGAAAAGTTTTTCTCTCCACTAGCCGCCGATTTGCTTCCAAAACACAAAACGCGGGCCGAAGAAACTCAGCGACACGGTATCGTGGGACGATGCAGAGAGTCATGCTGCCGTCCTGATCCCCGGCGTCGTTTTCCGTCCTTGGAAAGCCTCCCTTTGTGCCCCGTCGGCGAGAAATCGACAGTGCCGCATGGTATGTTTTCATCCCATGTCTTCCGCGATGCCGCGTGCCATCTTGCTTGCTCTCGGGCGTGTGCCCTCGCCTCGCCTTGTTTGTTTTGACGCGATCCTCTCTGAAGCAATATCTGCTGCCTTGCCGTGGTTGTATGCGCGCGTCTCGTCTCGTCTTCGCGTCCTCTCAAGACGTGTTTTGCGAGGGTCTCCGGACCCCGTCCTTGGATTGGAGAAAGGGGCAATGGGTGGGTGGCTAGGGAGTTCTTGCAACTCGCGTCTTACCTGTAGAGTTCGAGTTCTGTGAGCCGTCTTGTCGTCGATTAGATGGCAGCACACAAAACAATTGAGTTGCGATGTGATATTGGTAGGGGTGGGGATTTTGCAGAGTGGATAAGGTGATGCTTAAATGCGGTCTCTCAAAAGTGGAGGGTATGGGATAGAAGAACGAAAGAGAGATAGATTCTTGGAATCTTTGAAAAGGTTCGGGGTAAAAAAAGAGTGGGAGAGAGAAAGGAAAAAAAAAGTGGAAGGGAAGGGAAGAAAAGAAGTTGGAGTGGAGACAGGGGACGGGTGAGGGTCAAGCGTTTTTTGAGAGGGTTGGGTGTTAGAGCCGGCGAGTGGCATGGATTTTTTTTTTTGTTTGGTTGGGGGTGTAGCAGAGAGGAAAGGAAAGAACAAACTACTGCAGAATACAGCGGGTAAATCAATTTGCGAACCACTGGGAAGGAGCCAGGGAAAGGAGAGGCTATGAGCACTGTGGTGGTGTGGTAGTGTTGGTGTGTTGGTAGTGGCAGAAAATTTCCTTGCTTGTTTTCTTTCTCCTTGTGATTGCTTCGCGCCTTCCTCGTTGTCTGTCTTACCTTTGCTTTTTTTGGTCGGGTTTACTGGGAGGGGCGCCTGTCAGGTACCGTGGTCCGTGGTCGGGAAGGGTGGGTTCTTTTCAGTGGGCTGGAGGCAGCGTGGTAGCACTGCGGCGGTCTTTAGTGCACTGTTTTGTGCTGTTATTGTGTGAGCAAGGAACTGTTTGATGGCGGACGACACGGGTGGTAGTGGCTTGGGACGGATAGATGGGTGGGTATGGGTGGATATTCGTGGAAGAAAGGAGATGTAAAAGTGGACAAGTGGATACCGAAGGTCAAGAAGGGGAAGAACCTCTTGATATATATATTGTCAGCCAGCACACATGCCTCGGGGACAAATTCAGTGAATACAGAGGGAGGTTGGGGGAGCTGAGTGGGAAACAGATAATTCGTAGAGGAAAAAGAGATGCCAGCGCTGGAAATAAGCACGCCCGGTGACCGTACCAGTTGACGCCTGTTTAGAGCAACGGCGCTTGGTTTGATGGTGAGAGGCGAAAAAAAAAAAGAAAGAAAAAAAAGACGCGTGGGAGATGGCAGCAGGGAAAAGGGGTCGAAAGGGCTGCAAAAGGATACACTGGGAAGGAGCGACGGGACACTGTCAACGAAGGAAAGAACCAGGTTGTAGGAGTAGAACGTTTGTTCGGAAGGTGGAGGAGAAGGAACAAAACGGTTCAAGGAAGTCACTGCGGACGGAAAAAAAGGTGAAGAGTTACGAAAGAATACGTAAAACGAGAATTTTTAATCCTTTTCTTTCTTAAAAAAAAAAAAAAAAAACAGCGCTTACCCGCAAAACCGGCCAAGAATCTTTCGCGTGCCTAGCGGCAAGTGGCAGGCAAAAAAAAAATTCGCGAACGCGAAGGCAAAACAACAAAGACAAAAGGCGACAGGCCACAGTTGCCACGTTTTTGTCGGGGGCGGCAAAGAAGCTAAGCAGGGAGTGAAAACGGTGGTGAGGATGCAATGCAGGTAACCGATGGGGGGAGTAGGAGTTTGGATTGGCAGCAAATGCAGAAGTATCTTACCGGGAGGGAAGGAACCACACACCACACAGAGAAAACGGTGAAGTCGAGGGAAGGAACGACAAACCGGGAGCGAATCATTTGTCAGGCAGGAAACTATTAACCAGCCTGGCGTTCCATATGCAGAAAAAGCAGACTTTGATACACTGATGTTTTCCCGCGTCCGGACGCACTCCGTGACCGTCGTAAACCAAAACAGGCAAAGGAAGCATTGGCAGATTACGAGCTAGGAAACACACCGGAGGTTTGGCATGGCACTCGACGCGCGTTGGTGAGCGAGCGGCCGAAAGAAGGACGGTCGACTCGGCGCCAAACGCCCCTGCCAACCTGAGCGGACGGAGCACAAAACGCACTTGCTGTATGCAAGTCACTCTTTCCATTGTCGGCGGCTTGAAACCCGAGCGACTCTCAAATTGTATAATTTTTTTCATTAAAATAATAAAAATGGAAAATGGAAAATGGAAAGAAAAGACCAAAAGGAAACCGATGCCATCGTGAGGTCCAGTCGAACGACCGTAGTGTATACTCAACATTGCCAATACAAGCCTCGAACATGCGGGTACCCACCTCATATCGCGCTCCTATGTTGGTCCGGCCAGGGGTCATTCTGAGAGAGCAAAGGAGGAGCCTGTCGGGGCAATGGATTCAAGACGACGTCACGTCCTTTAAATCGTACATGGCGGCAGATTAAACTTCCAGCCGTTTTCGTCCAGAAGAAAACAAAGAACGAGCAGCAGTTCCTCCATTTTGCGGCATCTTTTCTTTTTTTTGTCGGACATTTGCCCCCGTGCTCGTTGCTTGCTTTACATCATACGAGCTGTTAGCCAGGCCGTATGTACATCAATTTCCCGTTCCTCGCTGTATTTGTCGTTACGAACGGGTTGGTCCAAGGTCCGGAAAGAAGTCGCGCCAAAAAGAACCTCGGCGCGAACCAGGACACAAGAAACGAGACGTAACAGAAGCCGTCAGTTTCGACAAGGAAAGCAGGTGAGCTAGCAAAAGAGGAAGAGTTTTGTTCCATCTCGGGGCTTTGTTGACATTGTACTAACTGAATGTGGCTGCTAGTAAAACTCAATCCGTCCTCAGGGCCGATTATCGATAAATAAATTCGCGGCCACGGACATTAATGCATGTGAATTCTCTCGGATATTTCCTAATTGGGCTAGTTCATGGCATATAATTTCGAGGCCATCCCAAGCAAACGGTCAATCGATAACCAACCACGCCTTGGTATGCGAACAAACCAGCTGAGAGACACACGAAGGAAAGAAACGAGAGGTCGTCAGCAATCCAGACGACCGCATGGCGGGCGAGGCAGCCAAACAAATCAAACAGGTAAGATGCCGGGACAGAAGATGGGTGCGACGTGCTGTTCCGCGGTTCGCGTGTGGCCTACAAAAAGAACGGAGAATTTCCTTCTTGGTGCAAGCAAATCCCAGGTAAAATCCCAGGCAAAAAGGTCACTGGCAGGGGCCACGTACAACGCTTGTAGGCATGGCACAAATCGTAATTTATTCCTCCGTAAATAAAAATAAAAAATGGACCACCATTCGCCGGTTTTGCATAACACGGCCGCTACGGAGGACATTTGCTACATCGGCCACTTGCGTTGTTGCGTGAGCGTGAAGACTATGACAAAGGAAAAAACGCGAAGGAATAAATGAAGACCATCAGAAGCAACAAAGAAGGAAGGAGGTTGGTGGCTAAGTTAACGCTAGTCCAAATGGAAGCTGACCATGGATTGGAGGAAC